ATTTGTTTGTATTTATACTTCTTGTAAGTTTCCTGTATATGTGGTTTGATGTATAGTATTAATCTGGGGAGATCAATTGCTTCTTGGTGTTGTTTCAAAACTTGGCCTCTATTTCTTTCTTTTCTCTTCTTCTGGTATTTACATTTGTATGTGTTATAGTTGTCCCACAGATTGTGGATATTCTGTTCTGCTTTTCCAGTAATTTTTCTTTCATTTTTGGAAGTTTCTATGATCATATCCTCAAGCTCAGAGATTCTTTCCTCTTCTATTCTATTAATGACCCCATCAAGCCACTTGTGGTGGCACACACCTGTAATCCCAGCATTTTGGGAGGCTGAGGCAGGAGAACCACAGTTCAAAGCCAGCCTCAGCAATGGTGAGACGCTAGGCAACTCAGTGAGACTCTGTCTCTAAATAAAATACAAAATAGGACTGGGGATGTGGCTCAGTGGTTCAGTGCCCCTGGGTTCAATCCTCAGTATCAAAAAAAAAAAAAAAAAAAAAAAAACAGCCCATCAAAGATATTCTTTATTTCTGTTACAGTATTTTTTTTTACTTCCAGAATTATTTTTTTGATTCTTTCTTAGAATTTCCATCTCTCTGCTTACAATATATATCTGTTATTATATATTTTCTACTTCCCCCATTAAAACCCTTAGCATATAGGTCATTGTTTTTAAAAGTTTCTAATGTGGTAATTTCTACTTTCCTGTCATATCTGGCTCTGGTTCTGGGTTGAATTTGTCTCATCAAACTGGATTGTTTTCCTTTTAGAATGTCTTGTATTTTTTTCTGGACATGATATACTGGGTAAAAGGAACAGCTATAAATAGGCTTTTAGTGATGTGTTGGTGGGGTGATGGGCAGGGCATGCACTCTATAGTTCTCCTTCTTAGTATTTAGGTGAGCCTGTGCCCCTGGCCTGTGACTTTTCCGTTGCTTCTTAACAAAATATGAGTAAATCAAATCTAGGAGTATATTAGAAGGATTATATAATACAACAATAATGAGATTTACTCCTATAGTGTAAGGATGTTTCAGCATATGACAATTTACCACTGTAATACATTAACAGAATGGGGGAAAACATATGATCATCTCAACTGATGTGGGAAAAACATTTGAAAAAATTTGACACCCTTTCATGTTAATAACCCTTAAGAAATTAGGACTATTGGGCTGGGGATGTGGCTCAAGTGGTAGTGCGCTCACCTGGCATGCATGTGGCCTGGGTTTGATCCTCAGCACCACATACAAACAAAGATGTTGTGTCCACCAAAAACTAAAAAAAAAATAAATAAATAAACATTAAAAAAAATTATCTCTCTCTTTAAAAAAAAGAAATTAGGAATAAAAGGATATTATCTCAATATAATAAAAGCCACATATGAAAAACCAACAATGAAACTGGGCCTAAACTAACACTATATGCAAAGATAAACTCAAAGGAATCCATAACCTAAATGTAAGGTTAAAATTATAAAACTCTCAGAAGAAAATATAGGGTAAAGCTGCATGGCTTTGAATTTGCCAGTGCTTTCTTGGATAAAACACTGAAGGCAAAGACAATGAAAGAAAAACAGATGAATTGGACTTCATGAAAATTAAATAAGTTTGTTCATAAAAGGACACAACAGAGTCAGAAAGCAACCTGCAGAATGACATAAACTATTTGTAAATACTATGTTAGATTTAAATAAGGGATTACTATCCAGAAAATATATAGAACTCTTTTTTAAAAATATTTTTTAGTTGTCAATGGACCTTTATTTTGTTTGTTTTTATGTGGTGCTGAGGATGGAACCCAGTGCCTCACACATGCTAGGCAAGTGCTCTGCCACTAAGCCACAACCCCAGCCCAGTTCTAACCAATGTATAGAACTCTTAAAACCCAATAACAAGAAAGCAAATGACCTGATTTGAAAGGGGAAATATGGCCTGGCAATAGAACTCAGTGGTAGACCACTTGCCTAACATTTGTGAACCCCTAATTTTAATCCCCAGCATCCCAAAATTGTGGGGCACAAACGACTTGAATAGAGATTCCTCCAAAGAAAATATACACATTACTAATAAGCACATAAAAGGACATAAATCACTAATTATTAAGTAAATATGAATAAAACTACAAAGAAATACCACCTTACCCACCATGATGGCTACTCTAAAAATACAAACTATTACAAGTGTTTGCAAAAATACAGAAAAATTAAAATCCTTATGTACTGTTGGGAATATTAAATTCTACAGCTTATATGGAAAAGAGTACTGCAATTCCTCCAAAACTAAAAACTAGAGTTATCGTTTGGTCCAGCAATTACACTTTTAGGTATATATTCAAAAGAATTGAAAGCAGGGACTTGAGGTATTTGTACATCCATTGTATTATTAAGGGTTCTCCAAAGAAACAGAACAAAAAGGAGAGATATACTACATGTTATATGTGTATTGCCGTCCATACCAACATTATTCATAATAGCTCTTCATGTCTTTTGACAGATAAATGGTTAATCAAAATGTGGCCTATATGTTTTCACATTATCATATTTTATTGCAATAAAAACTAAAAACAAACAAACAAAAATAACCAGGTGTGGCTGCTCCCGAAAGAAACAATGAGACTTTGGTTATTTCACCACAGGGTTGAGAAAGAAACAAATAAGTGATCAATACCTAGACTTACTTTCATTCATTTCACATCCTGGTAATCTCAGGCATGATGGACTCCCGCTCCAGGCTTATAAATACAATCAGAAGCTTTCCCTTATCTCTCCCATTTCATACTTATTGTGGTCATTTACAACAGTGAAGGTGTCTCACTGGCTGATATTTGGGGGCTCCTTTTTCTGTGTCCCCCATTCATCTTTTATTTGTGCTATAGTCCATTTCTCACATCTCTCACTTTTCAAAAACTCCTGAGAATCAATAATATAGGAGACTCAAACAACACCTTTTCCACATTTAATTATGTCTTTAAAAAGCTTTCATTTTCCCTAATCATTTCTGATGTGTGTTTTGTGGTAGCACAGAGGAGGTACATAGTATGTGGTTAATATGTGTCACAATGGGCAAAGGTGCAACATCTGCAATTGAGGGGAGAGAGAAAGAATGTCCACTCGCTATGCCCTTTTCAATGCTTTATTCACTCCAAATCACTCAATACAATTTCACTCTATAGGTTCTTAATCAAGGAATGACAGTCTTTAATGCTGGGCATTGCAATAGACATAATCAATTCAAAGCAAACAATTCTAAGTTTGCAAACACACCTCATCATGACAGACTTATTACAGACATTCCCTCTGCATGCTGAGCTTAAGTGCTAGATTTAAAGTCTAAAGTCTTAGGTCTCAAGTCCAGCAGATGCACACTCACTCAGACTGCAGTGACCAGTCAGGAACCCATAGAAGCTTCTCCTGGTGTGGAGCTGATGGCTGGCTGAAGAGAAGGAGAAGTAAGGAGAGGTCGCCTTTTTCACTAGAGTAAAGTCTGCTGAAGACTTTGAGAGTGGTGAGGATGATGCAGAGGATCAGGCTGATGATGAGAAGAGTTGGAATATCAGTCCAGGTCCTCATTTGTGCATCAGTGTCAGCTGGCTGAATGTCTGTTTATTTGTTCCATTATTTATACTAATTTTTGGGAGCTTCTGTTCACCCTTTGGGTCCCCATCAGCTGTTACCAGGTTTCCTAGTAACATCTTACATCTTGGAGTCAGGACATATGGTCTGGTGTTTTCTGCCCTGATATCACACTTTTGACTCTTATCAGGGTTATGACAAATGACATGTGACTTCACCCTGACTCTTACCAGGATTGTGGAAACTGACTTGCTTTTATCAGGCTATGCCTGATGGCATATCAGAGGGCTCTGTAGGCTTGCCTGGTGAGACTGCAGGTTTATTTTAAAATGGAGTTTTAGAATGGAGTTGCTTAGGCTAAGGCCTAAGGCTATCCTTATAATATGTAAGTCAGTATACATCTGTTTGGGGCAAGTGCTTAATTTTTTTTTTGATTGATTGAAGTTTGAAGACCAGGATCTATACATGAAAGTTTTCTTCCTCATGAGAATTAATTGAATTCCCATGTCTTATTAAAATGATACCAACTGGTAAAATCTAATGGAAAATAAAAGTTAGATGTTGAAAGCATAAATGAGGAAGAGAGGCTCTTTATGGCATATAGAAAGCTACAGAACTGTTCCATGGTGTGAAAAAGTTACCAGCATATGAAAACCAGTGAGTTTAAATATTCACGTTCAGCTACTTCATAATTTCTATCAATTTGCTTGGGTCCAGTGTCCCATCTTCACTAGGATTCACATTGGTTATTTTGATTATTCAATCTAAATGGGGGGCTCAGGACATGACAGCCTAACTTGTCAGGTAGGGAAAGAGGAAAATCTGGGAACCTAAAAGAATTTTGATGACTTATGAAAAAAATAACACTTTAGGAACATTTATATAATTAATTATAATAATAATTTCTAATTTAGTAACTGATCCATGAATAATTATATAATTGGGAGTATTAGACTAGACACAAAAATGAGCATTAATGTATAATTGTCTGTGAATTATAATGCTTGGTACCAGAAGGTCTCAATGTATATAGTCTTCATTGAAAGTTAATTGTCCCTGTGATATTCTTGGTGCCCCTAAGGAAGAAAGTATAATTTTAAGTACATATAGATCAAATTTTCATGTAAGATACTTAGGTTAAAGTTATAGTCTGTTTTAGAGGTGAAATTGAAAGATTCAATAGTTATTGCTTTGGCAGAAAAATTTTTGGCTGATGTACTGTATGGGTCTTGATTTTATGATCTATCATTTTGTACCTAATATATCAGTTGACTTGTAGAAACAGTGTTTGATTTGGTGGCTTTCAGGAATTCATGTACAACTACTAATTTAGTAACTGAACATTTGTTAACAGTAGATGGGAATGGGATGGGAGCATTAGTTGCAGCTGAATTTTGAATGACTTTTCCTTTCTCCATACAGATTTCCTCCTAGAACACAAAGATCTTTTCCGTTCAACACCTCAGTCATGTATAAAAAGACTGTGTTTGTAGAGTTCACGGATCACCTTTTCAACATTGCCAAGCCCAGGCCACCCTGGATGGGTAATGAAAAAACAATATTGAATGCTAATTATGACACTGGTTATCTTATTTCCTAGCAAGGATTCTCCGATCTTGGGAGTGCAGTTAAATATGGCAGCTGTCAAAAGAATGTTCTTTTGTTCAGTTTTCCTTACTGCCACACTTAGGGCTGACACTTGTGTCTTCTATAAATGTTGCAGTGCTCCTGCAGCATTATTCTGGATTTCTTTTCTTTTCTTTCTATCATCAATCCGTAGGTGATCTTATCCAGCTTTATGACTTTAAAATATTATCTATATGCTAATAATTCCCAAATTTCTATCTTCCACTTACACCTCTCCGTGAACACTAACTGCATACTTTCACTTAGATGTTGAATAAACATGCAACAAGATGTTCAGATGAGACATTTCCTGTCATAACTTTTTTTTTTTTTTTGGTGGCACTGGGTATCAAACCCAGGGCCTTGCACATGTTAGACATGTACTCTGCCACTGAGCTATACTCCATGTCTCTGTCTTAGAATTATTGGGAGAGGGCTGGGGATGTGGCTCACGCAGTAGCACACTCGCCTGGCATGTGTGCAGCCCGGGTTCGATCCTCAGCACCACATACAAACAAAGATGTTGTGTCTGCCGAAAACTAAAAAATAAATATTAAAAAAATTCTCTCTTTCTCTCTCTCTCTCTCTCTCTTAAAAAAAGAATTATTGGGAGAATTATAGGTGACAAATATTCCTATATTTTGAAAACAGATATTAGCCCACCTATTCAGGACTTGTTCATATAGTGGTTCAAAACTAGTTATGTAACCCTTGGACCATGACTCACTTATAAGCCTAAATAAAAGAAGGCTAGGAAGTTTATATTTAAAGATTTTTTTGGAGAGCATTTTTGGGATATCCCTTACCATGTGAGGGGAATAAATCTCCCTCATGTCAAGCTATAACAATGAAGACTTCAGGAGAACAACTTAGAAGACTAGACATAGCACTTCTGGAACTTGACATACTGACTAGTGCCTGATTTCTGTCTCTAAAAACTTTAGGGCCGGGGCTGTGGCTCAGTGGTAGAGCACTTGCCTTGCACAGATGAGGCACTTGATTCAATCCTCAGCACCACATAAAAATAAAAATAAATAAGATAAAGATATTGTATCCATGTATAACTAAAAAAAATATTAAAAAAAAAACTTTCAAGGTCAGAGACTAGGAGTAATTTCCCCTGATGGCATAACAGGGAGGGTGGGATATAGTAGAATGTGACTGCACTATCATTGTTAGGCATGAGGCCAGAAAGTTCACAGGATGACACCTGTCTTAAGAAGACCCTACCTAGCCTAGGTGAGCCCAAGAGAAAAGGCCCATGTGGGTTGTACTGCCAGAAACATAAACTAAGGGGAAAGATGCAAGTGACCAGCTAAAAAGTGTATACCCCATGGAGAGAGATATAGTATGATGTCACCATATTGAGGGTTGGGGAGGGGGTCTTCAAAGGACTCAGATATATTCCCACAAAAAGAGGCAGAATTTTGGCATGTGCTACAACCAAGAGATACTAATGCAATGCTGCCAGTGTTGTTTCAAAGCAAGTCCCTATCATCAAGACTCTTTTTCCACTCCCACCCTCTTTCCATTTGCTTCTACCTTAGAGGGTCCAGAATTTAGCTGGAGGAAAAAGGGAACTTTTAATTGCAGAGGACATCAAAATTTTATATTTAGACTGGACTGGTTTTATAATACTAAAAACGTTGCTGTTTGCTAACACTTGAAAGTTACTGGAAAAGATTTAGGATCAAAGTGTAAGAGAGGAAAATTCCATATACTGCAATTAAAAACAAAGCTATTTTATGTTTTCATTGAATCCTATTAATTCAATAAACCATTTATAGGCATATTTTTTTAAAAAAAATTTTTTAGGTGTAGATGGACACAATATCTTTATTTTATTTGTTTTTATGTGGTGCTGAGAATCAAACCTAGTGCCTCACACATGCTAGACAAGAGCTTTACCACTGAGCTACAGCCCCAGCCCCATTTATAGGCATCTTATAATATCCACAAAGCAGAACTGTGTGTGTGTGTGTGTGTGTGTGTGTGTTGCTGGGGATTGAACCCAGGGCCTTGTGCATGTGAGGCAAGCACTCTTCCAATGGAACTATAGTCCAGGCCCCACAAAATAGAACTCTTAATTTTTCTCTTGCTTTTTCTGTGTCATGAATTAACAAATGACATAGTGTACAAGCCACAGATCATACAAATCATTTTTACTCCTCTCTTTCTCTTTTATTCTGTCTCCAACATCCAGTCCATCCACAAGTCCTATTGACTGTTACTCCAAAACAAGTTCCAAGTTGTCCTCTTTTACTTCCGTAAAATCAAGATTTATCCTGCTCTTATGCCCTATAAGGTCCTACATGTTATGTTCCCTATCTCTATAACCACATTTTCTATTACTTATTCACCTTGTTTCACCAACTTATTCCTATCTCAGAAGATTTGCATTTTATCTGTTTTTAATGATTTTCCACTAGGTCTTTGAAACTATTGCTTCTTTTTTATTAGTCAGATCTCTTTGCAGATGCCATGTCCTCAGAGAGGATCTTCTTGACCACTATATTTAAAGTATCTCCTACCTCCTGCTTCATTATTTTCTAGCACACATTGTTGTCCTTTATAGAAATCATAATAACTTCAAATATTCTTGTTATTTCTTTACATGCTTAATGTTTCTATAATGTGAAATCCAGTACATAGAACAGTTCCTAGAATATAGTAAGAACTCAAATATTAGTTGAACTGATGAATGCACTTAATGAATTGCCAGAAATATTTCCTCAGAACAACCATGAGGCTGGGGTGGTTTTGGCATAACTACTTGTTCTTAATAATCACAGGAGCTTGCCTCTCCATTGTGACATTGATCCTCACTTTCGTAACAACTCGAGTGCTATCTTTCAAGTGATCTTTGAGGGACATCTCATTCTTGCAGGTCTGCTGGGTCCGACCATCCAGGCTGAGGTTTATGACACAGTGGTTATTACACTTAACAACATGGCTACTCATCCTGTCAGTCTTCATGCTGTTGGTGTATCTTACTGGAAAGCTTCTGAGGGTAAGTGAAATGCCTTTCTATTGTCCTGCCATGCTAGGGATAGAAAGGTGAGATGTACTTGTTTATGAGGGTGGCTGCCTTAGTTCCTTTTGGATTGTTACAACAAAATACCTGAGACTATCCAGGTATTAGCCCCTTCAGAGCATCTGCTGACCAAGAATAGATCTTGCTTATTTAAATTGTCTTTGTCCTGCTTGTCTATTCTTAAAGCCTCTCTCATTGCACATATATTTTCTGTCTGGAGAAATCAGTTTGGTGCTAAAAAGAGAAAGAAATGGGGGGGCTGACTTGGAGTTTCCCCTTAACTTTGAAAAAAATGAAATACCTACTTTAAAAAAAATGTCAGTACCAGGCGCGGTGGCGTATGCATGTAATCCTAGTGCCTAGGGAGGCTGAGATAGGAGGATTGTGAGTACAAAGCCAGCTTCAGCAACGTAGTGAGGTGCTAAGCAGCTCAGTGAGACCGTGTCCATAAATAAATTCAAAATAGGCTGGGGATGTGGCTCAGTGGTCGAATGCCCCTGAGTTCAATCCCTGGTACCCTCCCCCCCCCCAAATAATACTTGACAGTTTATGAAGAAAAGAGGTTTCTTAAGAGCTCATAGTTCTGAGGGTTCAAGAGCATGATGCCAGGATTAGCTTTTGGTGAGGACTTCATGGCAGATAGCATCACATGGGGAAACAGGAAGCAACAGAGTGAGGTAAGAAAGCTGAATTTATATATTTTTTTAACAATACCATGTGTCCTAACCCATAGTCTCAACATTGGTATTAATGTCTTCCCAAGGTGGTGCTGCCACGACATAATTACCTTGTAGTAGACCTCATGCTATAATTTGGGTCTGCAATGTCCCCCAGAGTCCCATGTGTGAAAGGCTTAGTTCATAGCCTGTGGCACTATTGGGAGGTGGTTGGACTTTAAGAGGTGATGCCTAGTGGGAAGAAGTTATGTCATTGGGGTGAGCTCTTGAAGGTATATTAAGACCTTGCTCCCTTCCTTTTGCTTTCTCTGCTTGTCAGACATGAGGTGAAAGGCTTCTTCTACCATGCATTACCACTATGATGTACTGCCTTGCTACAAGCCCAAAAGCAATGGGCAAAGCAACCATGGACTGAAACCATGAGCTAATACAAAGCTTTCCTCTTTTTAAGTTAATTATCTGAGGTATTTCATTACAGTAATGGAAACCTGACTAACGCATGCTTCCTCTTAAAGGTTCCACCACTTTTTAGTACCATTACATTGAGAACTAAACTTCTAGCATAAGAACATTTGGAGAACAAAACATATCTAAACCATAACAGTGGGACACCTGGAAATGAATTCATTCTCTTGAAAGCAAACTTACTGAAAAATATGACAACAACAATAACAATAATGACTAAAATGTACTTGAGTTTAAGGTCATATAGTTAGTGAGTAGTGAAATCAGGATCCAGACCTAGACACATCTAACTCCAGAAGTTGTACTCTGAACCACTACACTACAGTGCAATGATTGTTTTTCTCTTGCAATCTCAGCTCTTCTTTATAGTGTCATTCACAGGCAGGCTTTTCTCACATAATGGCAAACCACTAAAAGCTCTTGGCTTGCCTTGTTCTTAGAGATAGTGATCCAAGAGTGGGAAGGAAAACTTTTTCCTTGTACTTTCTGATGTCAAGTGGTATGGAAAATGGAAGCAAAAAAATATGTCACGTATCTACAAATATAGGTCTCTATAACCTGGAGGACAGAATGTTTATTTGGCCTAGCATGGGCAAGTAACAGGAAGAAAAAAAATGACCATATTCTTTAATCCTGCACACACCAGTTACTTTTTCTTCCAAAATTACACATATTCCTCACTCCTTAAAATCGCTTCCTCTAAATGCACTTTAAATAAAACCTGCCATTTTCTTAAAGCCTGTTCCTTCCTGGCCATAGTTATTGGTCCAAGTTAAGCTACTGTGGCTCTCAAGCACTTGAAATGTGGTGAGTCACAATTGAGGCATACTATAAATACACACTGGATTTAAAATACGTAGTACAAAAGAAGACTGTAAAATATCCCACTCATTGTCTATGACTACATATTGAAATTATAATATTTGGATATATTAGGTTAAGTAAAATACATAATTAAAATAATTTCACCTATTTTCTTTTACTTTTATTAACATGTCTATGAGAAAATTTAGAATTACACATGTGCTCACGTTATATTTCTATTGGACAGCACTCATCTGTACACTCCCAAAACAATGTCATTTAACATATGTTGAAGCTGCTGCTCCTGATGTGGTGACTCATGTTTGAACATGTTTCATCATGCTGTGTGACCCAAATCTTCATTGTGGCTTTGTCAAGGTATTTATTTGGAGACCTAGTGGAAGAAAATTTCATGAAGTCAGGAACATTACTATTTTAATGTAAGCCCCCAAATTGATTTAGATTTCCTGTTCTCCCTTGTGGAGCCAGGACAAGAATCATAAAAATTCTATCTCATCTGCCTTCTCATGCCCAGAAAACTTCCTAGGGAGGAACTTTCCTTCTTTCTCCTTTTTCTCTGACTTCCCAGGCACTTCCTCACCACCTAGCAGAAGCACAAGGTGAGCTCATTGAAACAAACAACCTGTTTGGTAATACCCTTTACTCTAGCTAGCATTTCCTTAACCTTCACAATGTAGAAAATGAGTGAAGAGGGTGCCAAAGTTGATGATGACACTGTTCATATAGTTGATAGCATATGTAAGTCAAGAAGATTCAAGTAAGTCATTAATACATTATTGGCATATATACTCTATATTATACAGTCTAACTATGTTTACATGTTGACTAAGTTCTTATTCTGAAATGAGATTACCTTAATATTCTGGATTTCTTTCATGAATCCACATCAAATTTGGGTTGGGGTAAAGTAACAAGAGAGGATAGACAGTATAGAGAAAAGGTCACCCATGTTTTTGCTGGAGATGATTAGGCTAATTCTATGAGCTTTATCCACTTGGGAGTTTTCAGAATGATACAGGGAAATTTCATTTTTTAAAAATTTTTTTTTAAAGAGAGAGAGAGAGAGAGAGAGAGAACTTTTTAATATTTATTCTTTAGTTTTCGGCGGACACAACATCTTTGTTTGTATGTGGTCTGAGGATCGAACCCAGGCCGCACACATGCCAGGCGAGCATGCTACCACTTGAGCCACATCCCCAGCCCCACAGGGAGATTTTAGAGAGGTCATGGTTCCTACAATTTTGTAGCAAGGGCTAAGCATAGACACAATTCTTGTGTACCCTAACCTGGTGAGGTCTGGGCAAATGGGTTAAATAGTAATATGGCTTACCAGAGTTGACTTGGGAGGTAAAAATGACAGACTTGCAAACCTATAGAAATACAAAGCAGATCATTGAGTGAATATTTCTACATTGTATTATAATTGTACTTCTACATTCCCCATCAAACATAGTGTTGGCCCTATAGGGAAGAACCAAGTTAAAAATTTTTAAATCTCTGTATCTTAACCATGCCTGCCTATCAAAGAGTGTTAACAAAGTATATATCCAATGCATGTTTGTTGATGAATTGACTTGAATTGATCAAAATGATGCAAGAATGGAGGCAATATTATTAATTAACAGAATCTAGAGATGTGAATAAGAACCTGATTTTTACCACTTATGTTAGGGTTAGTGGTCTCAAGCTCCTCTGGAATACATAAGGCTTTCTCCTATTTATAGCTGCTGCTTATTAGTTTTTCAAATTAAATTGCTTCCTTCTTTTTTTCATACAGTCAATTATTCTTTTTTTTCTTAATTTTTTGATTTTATTTTATGTGGTGCTAAGGATTGAACCCAGAGCTTCAGGCATGCTAGGCAAGCACTCTACCATTGAGCCACAAGCCCAGCCCACTTCCTTCTTTTTTAATTTTTAAGATCTTTATTAACAGATAATAATAGCATATCCTTTGGAGTACATTTGGATGTTTTTATACATTGTTTATTAAATTAAATTTATTTTTAACTATTACATTATAACATAAAGATTGTTCATATTAATGGGGAGTGACAATACTTCCAAACATGTACACCTTGTGTTATGTTTAAATGACACTAAACACATCTGTCTCCTCAAACATTTATAATTTCTTTATGGCAAAAACATTAAAAATACTTAAAGTTTATTTCTTATGTAGAATCCATTTGTTCCAATGAGCTTGATATATTCCTCTGAGTGGACAATGGGCATAAAAAGGACAGTTTTCTACCTTCTTTCTTTAGGAGCTGAATATGATGATCAGACTAGCCAAAGGGAGAAAGAAGATGATAAAGTATTTCCTGGCGAGAGGCATACTTATGTATGGCAGGTCTTGAAAGAGAATGGTCCAATGGCCTCTGATCCACCATGTCTCACCTACTCATATCTTTCTCATGTGGATCTGGTAAAAGACCTGAATTCAGGCCTCATTGGAGCTCTGCTGGTATGTAGAGAAGGTAAGTATGTGAAAGGGTAGGACAGAAATGAAATAAGGACATAAATAAGGACAGGGTTTTTTCCTAGTTGTATGTAGACACAATATCTTTACTTTTATTATTATTTGGTGCTGAAGATGGAACCCAGGGTCTCATGCATGATAGGCGAGCGCTCTACCTCTGAACCACAACTCCAGCCCAGGACAGGATCTTTTAATAACAGCATTTGTGTTCTTTTCTCTGAAAAAAGATTCTTTTCTTTTCCTGGAAAGCTTTATGGAGGTAAACACATCAGTGAGTGGTTCAAGTGCTTAATTTTTATAAGTCAAAAGTATATAAAATTTGAGTAATGTAGATGTTTGTTTATTTTTGTAACTAATTATCTTTAAAAAAAAATCTTAATTTTATTCATGTGTTTTTAATTTATACCTTAATAGCATAAAGTAAATTAGGTAATTAAACTTTGTATAATTTAGTTTTAATCCTGTTTTTATGGTGCAATCAGCTTCATTTGAACTTTCTTATGTTCTAGTTCTGTATTGTTGAATAACCCCACAATTTAGTGGTTTAAAATGACAACAATAATTGATTAAACCACCAAACTGTTTTCCACAGCAGCAGCACTATTTTACATGAGGGTTGAAATTTCTGCACATCCTTGTCAATATTTGTCTTTAATTAATAAAATAGGCATCCTAGTGGGTATGAAGTAGTATCACTTAAAATTGCAAAGTATAAACGTTACAAATTTTCCATCCATTTTGTAATGTTTTTGTTTTCTGTTGTATGTGCGTGTATGTCTGTGTGTGGAGAGAGAGAGAGAGAGAGAGAGAGAGAGAGAGAGAGAGAGAGATTATATTTGGCTTGTGTTTTTGTATGTCTTTTAAATTCCGTTTTTCTAGTAATTCATTTTAATGTATTTTATAAAAGTAATAGTCCAAAACAAATTTGAAATTTAAATAAATAACCCTTTATCACAGATGGTTTTATAAACTGTGGAATAGGAAACTTTATATCAAAGAAACAGTGTTACAGTAAAGCTAACAACAAGACTACATTTGTTCTTATTCTCAAGCAGTTGATAAAAAAATGTCTCCTCCTAGTGGTGATTTTTTCTATGATGGGATTTTATATAGAAGATAAATTCATTCATATTCCCCCCACTCTATTTCCCCCAGGGAGCTTGGCCAAAGAAAGAACACAGATGTTGCACCAATTTGTACTGCTTTTTGCTGTATTTGATGAAGGTTAGTGAGCTCCAATCTGAAAGAAGTCAAATTATTACCTTAATTTTGTATTTGAGAATGTGGACTGCTTCTGTTCAGAGTAGGTGATTATAGAAAGATAAACAATATTACTATTCAGGATAGATCCTAGAAATAGAATGGTGAGATGCATGAACTTGATGATGCTATTTGTCTTAGTCCATTTTGGGTTACTATAACAAAATACCAGAGGCAAAATATTTTAAAAATAAAAAAGGATTATTTAGCTCATAGTTCCAACAATTCAAGAGCATGGTGCTAGCATCAGCTATGAGGTAGGAAGATAGAGGAACTAGGTCACAGGTTTTCCTTGTTCCTCTCCTTAAATCCATAAGCAAAGACTTTTGATTGTACTTCCTAAATACATTGTTTAATCTTCATCTCTCATTAAGTATGTGACTTTTGACAAATTAACCTCTGCATCTGTTTCCTCAAATCTAAAATATTTTCTCAAACAGTTGTTATGAGGATTAAACTTTAGCCTTTTTTGTTGCTGGGGCTAGTTGCTGAAGGTAGCTTTAAACTCTTTATCCTCTTTTTCAAGTTGTTGGGATTATAGGTGTGCACCAACACACCTGGTAAACTACTATGCTCTTAATTGAGGCCTCCATAATTTTTCTCATGACTAGTCTCCCTGACTTTTGAGTTCTTGACCCTTCATTATTACTACAGCAGTCTGAGAAATGTCTAGTACTTTAGCTCTAATTTTAGAGAGGAGGTTGAGAAGCTTTCAGGTGTGTAGAGTTTCATTATAAACTGAAATGAAGCAATTATGACAGAGACAAGGACTGACAGCCCTTTTCATCTACTTCCCTTTAACTAAATCATGGCTCAAACTAACCAATATTCTCCCTTTCCCTAGTTATTATTTGTCATTATTCTTTCCAACCTATTGTTATGGACAAATATAAGGAGAGACAATCAGTTTGTTAATGTTTTCTCCCTCCTCTCATTGATTTTGAGGGGATAAGTCACCCATGTCTATTTTTTAATATATATTTTTTAGTTATAGATGGACACAATACCTTTATTTTTTTTAAATTTTTATGTGGTGCTGAGGATTGAACCCAGGGCCTCACACTTGCTAGGCGAGCGCTCTACTGCTGAGCCACAATCCCAGCCCTTCCATGTCTATTTTTGTGACAAACTTTTTTTTTTATTGTTAGTTGTTCAAAACATTACAAAGCTCTTGACATATCATATTTCATACATTTGATTCAAGTGGGTTATGAACTCCCATTTTGTGACAAACATTTTTAAGTTGTGAGTATCTTTTTCTGAAAGGAGGGAGGCAGGAAAGAACAGAAGGAGAATCACTCATGAAAGAAAGGTTAGGTGACTTTTTTTTAACCTTCTCTCTCATCAGGGAAGAGCTGGCACTCAGAAACAAAGGGCCCCTTGACACAGGCTATGGATTCTCCATCTGCTGGGCCCTTGCCTAGAATGCACACAGTCAATGGCTACGTAAACAGGTCTCTTCCAGGTATGTGCATGCCTGCTCAATAATCCTCAGAGTTTTTTGAATTCAGCATTAGAGCTCTCTTCTCCAATTCTCAGACAACTGTGCATCACAATAGAAAGCCCACTGAAATCTGGCCTCTGGGTTTTTGTTTTGTTTTGTTGGTATTGGGGACTGAACCCAGGGGTGCTTAACCACTGAGCCACATCCCTAGCCCTTTCTATTTTTTATTTAAAGACAGGGTCTTGCTGAGTTGCTTAGGGCCTCACTTAGTTGCTGAGGCTGGCTTTGAACTTGCAAGCCTCCTGTCTCAGCTTCCTCAGTTGCTAGGAGGAGTGTATGTGTGTGTATCACCCCTCTCAGGTTTATTTTCCTTAATTATTTTCTATATTTTTCAGTAATTCTATAATGAATATTCATTCTTTTAGAGTTAAGAAAGAAATTATTTTTGAAACATTCAAGCTCATGCTCTCACATACCTTATAGATTAAGAGATGGATAATAATGAAGGAATCAATATAAAAATGCAAAATTACAAATCAACAATTACTCTGAAAGAAAATTACATAATTGTATATATAAGTATATAACTAAGGAAACTGACTTAGACTATATTTTCTTCATGAAGTGAAGTGAGCTTTAGAACAAGATAAGGAATAACTATTATTTACTATATTGCCATGGTTGGTGTTACAATGGATATGAGAGGTGACGATGGTGACAAGGAAATCTCTCACTGTATAATTGCTGGATGGTGCCATTCACTGAGATAGGGAAGTTGAAAGAGAATGAGGTATTGAAAATTACAAATTTGGGGGCTGGGGTTGTGGCTCAGTGGTAAAGTGCTTGTCTAGCATGTGTGAGGCACTGGGTTCAATCCTCAGCACCACATAAAAATAAATAAATAAAATAAAGGTACATAAACAACTAAAAATATTTTTTAAAAAGAGCAAATTTGGTTTTGAAAAATGTAGGTTTTATGAGCTATCCAGGTGGGAATTTTGAGATGGTAATTTGGCTATATAAGTTCTAGGAGAGGTCAGAAATGGGTCACAAAAGAAGGGTCAGTCTGAACAGAACCAGACAGGTGTTTGTCAATTAACAAAAGTATTTTCCAGTTATTTACTTCTAAGCAATAGTTGTCTTATTCTTGTTTAACAGGTCTGATTGGATGCCACAGGAAATCAGTCTTTTGGCATGTTATCGGAATGGGCACCACCCCTGAAGTGCACTCAATATTCCTTGAAGGTCACACATTTCTTGTGAGGAACCATCGCCAGGCCTCCCTAGAGATATCTTCAGTAACTTTCCTTACTGCTCAGACAGTCTTGATGGACCTTGGACAATTTCTGTTATTTTGTCATATCTCTTCCCACCAACATGGTAATATCTTGGAACTTAAAAATGAATATTGTGAATATCCAGTTCTACTTTCAATGGGATTTACTGGGCAGTGTATAGGAATATAGTATGTTACAGAAAGTGCCATTATAGAGTTTGGATTATGTTAGACCTCAACTAAAATCCCCTAGTTGCTAGTATCCAAGTCAGTATTTTACCTTGAGAATAAGATGGTTTGAGTATTAGTAGTATATTTTTAGTTGAATGTCTGTTATAGAGGAAGAAGGGATAGTTAGGGATGGGTGAGTTGGGGAAAATGAGTGGGACAATATTTCTTTGGTTTCGTGGCCTGATATCATTAACTAGCCTTCAATACTATGGAAAGAGAGACTATAGGTTGTAGGTGAAGAGATGTTTTGTGGGAAATCTAGGCAAATGAGGCACCACATGAGGTTTTTAAGGACTACCTGATGGGAATGTTTTTTTTTTGTTTTTGGGTTTTTTGGTTTTTTTTGGTACCAGGGATTGAACCCAGGGGTGCCTAACACTGAGCCACATCCCCAGTCCCTTTTTATATTTTATTTAGAGACAGGGTCTCACTGAGTTGTTTTAGGACCTTGCTAACTTGCTCAGCTTCTTTTTCTACTCTACTGTCCTTGTTGAGCTTCTGTAACACAATATCAAAACTGGGTAATATATATTTTTTCCTATGTATATAGAGAGGGGGGAAGAAACCCAATTCCCACATTAACAGCATTAGTCTATTCATCAGGGTGGTATTGCATTTCTCACGACTAAAACACTCAGGGTCACTCCATTGAACTGGGCTGTACAAAATAACCACACAGAGACAGAGAAATACCTTTTTCTTTGGGTCCTGTGATGGCTCCTGCGACCTTAGGGGTCCCTGGAAAGAGCGAGTGAGAGAGAGAGAGAAAGAGAGAGAGAGAGAGAGAGAGAGAGAGAATGCATGTGTTGAACCCTTTTATTGAGGAGAAGCCATTCAAATCAGGCAAGGGGTCAGGTTTTAGGGGGTTCAATGTAGCTTTATGATGTCTGCTGTCAGCAGATTGGCTGACATGTAGGAAGGTCACACCCAAAGGCAGGCAAAGCAAGAAAAGGGGACACACAAAGGGAGTTTCCATGGAACATTCTATCCCAAACAGAGCAAAAGGGTAGGATTATAAAACAATAGGTGAGTGTAGCTCAACCCCAGGGGTGTGCCTACTCAGAAGACTGGCCCTTGCTATCAGAGGATGGGGGAGACTGAGTCCTGACTCATTGCACTACTGTGCCAGACTACAGTGATCTTTCAGATCCCCATGGTGCATCAGGATTGGAAAGTGTGGAACTCATTGTGGCTCCTCACATAGTGGAGCCTAAACACTTCTTAAAAGTTCTAACTCCCAATACCATCACCATAGCAATTAATGCCAACATGAGTTCTGGAGGGTACAAATATTCAAACCATACAGAGGGCTGTTGGAGAAAAACGTTGAGGAGGCAATCCTTTGGCCATATCACTCTTATGCTAACCTCTCTCCAGATTCCTTGATTACTGTAGGAAAGATATTTGATCTTGGCTGTGTATCCACCCTTTCCCCTTACTTTCTATGAGTTAACATGTTTATAGTCCTCTATAGTAATTAAGAATAGAAACTTCTTTTTCCTGGCAGTTACATATTTATGGAATTTTAACAAGACATTAGGGAGTAAAAAATGACCAACAAAATGGATTATCTGATATTTCCTGGTTTCTTCCTCTGATCTTTGCTTTGGCCATTTTCCTTTTGCCTGACACTCCTCCATCTATTTCTTGCTCCTTTTTAAAAAGTTGTTAATTTTGTCTGATAAAAAATGTAAATATTTCTCTTTTGGAACTGGTTTTGAGCCTAGGAATTTTTTTTTAAAAAATGGAGACTTCAGGGACTTTATATTTTTCCTGGTAAGCTGTTATTAAATCAATAGTTTATATGGTAAGTCACTGGAGTAAATATGTTCTAGTTAGCTTTTTTCAGTACTGTGACCAAAGATCTGCAAGAACAACTTAGAGGAGGAAACGTTTATTTTGACTCATGGTTTCAGAGGTTCAGTCCATACTCTGCTAACTCCATTGCTCTGCACGTGAGGTGAGGCAGAATACCCTGGCAGAGGGACATAGCAGAAGAAAGGCACTCAGGACATGACAGCAGGAAGCAGAGGGAGAAAGAGAAAGTTCTGCTAACCAGAGACAAAATATAAACCCCAAAGCACATCACCAGTGACCCACCTCCTCCAGCCACACCCCACCTGCCTACAGTCACCATCCTATTAATATATTTCCATGGGCTAATCCTTTATTAGATGACACCTGTCACAATCATTTCTCCTCTGAACATTCTTGCATTGTTCACACAAAAGTTCACACATGAACTTTTGGGGAACACCTCACATCTAAACCATAACAATATAGAAATCATTAGTTGATATGGGGATGTGGAGTTGGACTGCCCTAGGCTTTCAAATACTAAAAATATAGAACAAGGAAATTTAAGGTACTTTCTTTTCATTTAAGGCAAGAGAATCCTATAGGAATCTGACTTTATTTGGTTTGTTTGATTCCAGATGGTATGGAAGCTTACATCAAAGTAGATAGCTGCCCAGAGGAACCTGAACTACGGATGAAAAATACCAAAGAGGAAGAAGAATATGATGAGTATCTTGATTCTGAAATGGATGTGTTCAGGTTTGATGATGCCAATTCTTCTTCCTTGATCCAAATTCGCTCCGTTGCCAAGAAGCATCCTAAAACTTGGATACATTATATTGCTGCTGAGGAGGAGGACTGGGACTATGCCCCATCAGTCCTCACCTCCAATGACACGTAAACACATTTTGACTCTTTCCTACTCAAAATTTGTTTCTCAGTTATTCAAACCAAGAAATCCTGAAGCTATGTTTAAGAGTTAGTACAGGTATAGAATCAAATGGCAAGGGTTAGTGTTAGCTTTCTGGTTGCTATGACTGAACAACTAAGTTAAAAGAAAAAAGGTTTATTTTGGCTTGGTTTCAGAGATTTCAGTTCATGGTTGGTTGCTTGGCCACATCGTTTTTGGCCTATGGTGGCACAGTATATCATGGTAGGAGTGCCTAGTGTAGAAGGCCTGTTTGCCTCATGAAGGCCAGGAAACAAAGAGTAGAAGGGGCCAGGAGTCACAATATCCCTTCAAGGGTACAGCTCCAGTGACCTAAGTTCCTTTCACTAGGCCATACCTTCTAAAGGTTTCACCATTTCCCAATAGTGCTGCAGGCTCCTGTCTAATCTCTTAACATGTGAGCCATTGGGGGACACTTCAGATCCAAATAATAGTAGGTATTAACATATTTGGACACTACTAAGTAGTTAAGTAGTAGACATAGCTAAGTAGTAGAGATGCTTATATTTTTCTCACTCCCATTAAATCACATCACATGTTTAAGAGTTGGATTTTTCCTATTTTTCCTATTTCTATCCCAACCCCTCATATTTTTGTCTCTCATACAGAAGTTATAAAAGTCAATATTTGAATAATGGTCCTCAGCGGATTGGTAGGAAGTACAAAAAAGTCCGATTTGTGGCATACACAGATAAAACGTTTAAGACTCGTGAAACTATTCAGTATGAATCAGGAATCTTGGGACCTTTACTTTATGGGGAAGTTGGAGACACACTATTGGTAAGTTAAGGATAATATTTGGGATTAAGTAAGAAGAAAAAGTATGGAAGATTTTGAATTTATACAACATTCATAATTCAGCCTTGCCTCTAATGGACATGATCTTTTAAAAATAATAAATAATATAATAAATAATAAAATATAATTATATTTTAAATATATCCATATTTATTATTGTTTATGATAATAATAAATATGGATATATTTAAAATATAATTATATAAGTATGTAGAATAAAATTTAATATCACCCATTAAACTCACCACTCCTTTAAACTACTCATGGATTAGATTTTGATACATATCCTTCCTGAACTTTTTTCCTGATTATATACATTACGAGTCAGCAGCCTACACCAATTTAGCTTATGGCCTGATATTTGCAGAGCCTACTAGCTTAGAAGGTAATTTATGTTTTTAAAGGATTACAAAGAGAGGAAGAAGAGGAACAGTGGAGGAAGACAGAGAGACAATGTAAATGTTTACTATCTAGCCTTTCCCAGACAATGGTTGATGACCTCTGATCTAGGGTATTAAGAATGCTTACAAGGCACAGTGGCTCAAACCTGTAATCCCAATGGCTCTGGAGGCTGAGGCAGGAGGATATCAAGTTCAAAGCCTCACCAATTTAGCAAGGCCCTGATCAACTTAGTGAGACTAAGTCTCAAAATAAAAAATGAGGGCTGGGTTATGGCTCAGTGGTAGAGCACTTACCTAACACATGTGAGGTGCTGGGTTAGATCCTTAGCACCACATAAAATAAATAAAATAAAGGTATTGTGTCCACCTACTATATATATATATATATATATATATATATATATATATATATATATACATATATATACACACACACACACACACACACACACACAAATAGAAAGGGCTGGGGACGTGGCTCAGTGGTTAAGTGCCCCTGGGTTCAATCCCCAGTATCAAAAAAATAAAGAAAGAAACAATGCTTGCACTGCAAATAATAATCATGAACATGGTTTAAATAAGTAGTGGTTTATTTTCATTACAAGAAATTTGTAGTTATGAGCTGGGTGTGGTTGCACATGCCTATAATCCCAGAGGCTCGGGAGGCCAAGACAGGAGGATCCTGAGTTTAAAGCCAGCCTCAACAAAAGAAGTGAGGTGCTAACCAACTCAGTGAGACTCTGTATCTAAATAAAACACAAAATAGGGCTGGGGATGGGGCTCAGGGGTCGAGTGCCCCTGCGGTCAATCCCTGGTACCCTCCCACCGAAAAAAAGAATAAATTTTTGACCTTGTGTTAGATAATGGTTTCTTAGATATGACATCAAAAGCAGAAGCAACCGAAGGGGAAAAAAAAAAGCCTTTATAAATAACTTAATCACTATTTAAAATGTGTGTACCTTGAAGGATACCAACAAAAAAGTGAAACAATAACCCACTGAATAGGAGAAAATATTTGCAAATCATATACCTGATCTAATACCCAAAATATATAAAGAACTCTTACAAATAAACAATAAAAATACATGACCCAACTAAAAAATGAGCAAAGGATTTATATAGACATTTCTCCAAAGATAATATACAAGGTAATCAGTGAACACATGCAAAGATGCTGAATACCAGGGAATTGCAAATCTAAACCACAATAAGATGCCACTTCATATCTACTAGGATGACCATGAACAAGAAGACAGACATGGGTTGGTGAGGACATGGATAAACTGCAACACTCATAAATTTCTGGTGGGAATATAAAATAATGAATCCATTAATGAATAATGAAAGTTCAAGATGGAATGACCATGTGACCTACTAATTCTACACCTATAGAATTAGAAATATAACCAATAGAAATGAAAATATAGGTCAATTCAAAGATGTGTATGCAAATGACTATAGCAGCACTCTTCATAACAGCTGCACAGTGAAAATCATTTAAATATTCACCAATTGGCTGGGTTCAGTGGTGTACCCTATAATCCCAGCCATTTGGGAAGCTGAGGCAGGAAGATGGCAAGTTCAAGGCAGCCTCAGCAACTTTGTTAAACCCTCTGCAACTTAGCAAGACCCTGTCTCAAAATAAAAAAGGGCTGGGGATGTAGTTCAGTGGTAAAACACCCCTGGATTCAAACCTCAGTACCCAAACTGAGAAATGTTCACCAGTTGGTGAATGGATAAACAAAAGGTGTTATGTCCATAAAATTGAAATATTATTCAGCAATTAAAAGAAATGAGCTATAATCTGATTTCTTTTCAAATTATATAAATATTTTGCCTTTTAGTAAAAGAGATGACTCACATTCTGCAACATGGATAAGACTCAAAATATTTGGCTTGGCTTTCTTCACACCATAGTGAGACTTCTTTCATGTTGGCTCAGGGTTCCAACTGTGTGTGTTCTAGTAAGCAAGTCATAAGGTTTATCACCTTTTATGACCATCATCAGAAGTAACATAGCACTTCATGACATGATCTATTAGTTGAGATTAGTCAAAGCCCACCCACCTATCATGAAAGAAAAGAAAATATGGTCCATCTCTTCATGGGAAGAATGTCAATGAATTTGGGAGCCATGTTTCAAAGCTTACATAGAGACCGACAGCTTATTTTTCTAGTTCAACAAATATTGGTTGTAAACCTGACCAAGACAATATGAGAAAGGAAAGTTAAAATTAAAATTACAGATCAGTAGCATTATAAACACAGGTTAAAAAAATCCTAAATGAAAATCTGTAAACCCAACACAGTAATGTATATAAAAGATAATACATTATGACAGAATTATCCCGGGAATAATAAGTTAGCTTAATCTAAGAAAATCAAATGGGTAATCCAGCATATTAACACATAAAAGCATAAAAAGGGAAAAGACCATTTGATAATTTCAATAGCTGCAGAAAAAATCATTTGTCAAAATTCAGCACCTATTCATAAATTTAACAACAAATTGGAATTATAAGGGAATTATTGTCCTGGTAAAGATATAAACAATAACAACAAAAACCCACTAAGTATCATTCTTGGTAAAATGCAGAAATCCTCCTATTTAAGATCAGGACAAGAAAGGTAACACATCTATTATACTGGAAATCTTAGCTTGTGTTCTTACAAGAAAGGGAAAGAAAATTTTAATATTTGAAAGGAATAAATAAGAGTGTTAATATGATAAGAAATAGGTGGTTTTAACAACAAACCCCATCAGTATGTATAAATATAATTCACCAAAAAAAATGTGGGGAAAAAAGAAATATGTGTTTTACCAAATGAATGGGCTTTTAAGACGAGTGCAAGTGAAAGTAGATTTTTAAAAAATATATTTAAAAAAAAGTCAATGGACCTTTATTTTATTTATTTTTACATGGTGCTGGGAATTGAACCCAGTGCCTCATACATGCTAGGCAAGCACTCTACCACTGAGCTACAGCCCCAACCCCAAAAGTAGATTTTTTAACCTTCATTATCACACATCTGCAGATGTAGAGGAATAATTAATGTCTCCATGGGTCTTCATCTCTGCTTCCTTCCTCTCTTTTAAAGCTCTTTTAAATCAGATGATACCACTTGCCAGTCCTGCTTGATGCTATAATCAACTGTCCTTCTAGTCAGGTTTGCTCATTCAAAGAACATTTTATCATCTGAATCACTGTCTCCTTCTCTGAACAATGGAAAAGACTGAGAGGAAGCAGTATCCTCATGCAATTAGCATAAGAAGGTGCAGGAAATATTTATTGAAACAATTGGAATCATTTTTAAAGAAATGAAAAGGCACCAGGGTGGTGGTGCATGCCTGTAATCCCAGGGGTATGGAGGCTGAGACAGGAGGATCACAACTTCAAAGCCAGCCTCAGCAATGGGGGGGGGGGGAGAAATGGAAAGGGACCTTCAATGAGAAACATAAGTTGCTATCTAAACAATTTCATGAAAAAAAAAGTTTTTTAATTTTATCTAGGTTCAAATTCTTATAATATGGATAAAGGCAGCTTTTGGTTTTCTGGAGATAGGCCACAGTTTTCTTGTTGACCTTACTTGTCTTAGGGTATCTTATATATCTCATTTTACTTTTCAGATTATATTTAAGAATCAAGCAAGCCGGCCATATAACATCTACCCTCATGGAATCACTGATGTCAGTCCTTTATACTCAGGGAGATTGCCAAAAGGTAATAACAAAAGTACATGAAGTGACTCTTTGATAGCTTATGTAAAACACCCCTAAGGCTTCCTAGAATTGATGTGGTGTAACTTTAGATTGCAACTCTTAAGTGCCCTAAAATCTTAAAGCTGATTGTTCTGATATGAAGGTCATGTTTTTTTCTCTGAGTTTAGTTTTTGGCTTCATTCCAGACTTTTGATATCTAATATTTTAATATTTCTACTTTTAATTTCATTATTTGTTGCTTAAAGATTCATGACATAGGGCTGGGGTTGTGGCTCAGTGGTAGGGCACTTGCCTAGCATGTGTGAGGCACTGGGTTAGATTCTCAGCACCACATATAAATAAATTAATAAAATAAAGGTCCATCAACAACTTTAAAAAATTAAAAAAAAAAGATTCATGACATATCTTTGTCATGGATTACACCTTTTATCAATAAAATGTCCTTGGTTGTCTTTTATGATCCTTAACTTAAATTATTTTTTTCTAATTTTAGTATTGCCACATATGCTTAATTAGTTTATCTTTTCCATGATATTATTTTCCCATATGTTTGTTTATTTCATGTTAGGTCTTGTCCACATAAAAAGCATACATATGGTTTTTATTAGTTTACCCAATCACCATCTATCAATTGGAGATTTTAACCTGGCCATATTGTGTTAGTTTTGATATGCTTGTTGATAGTCTGGTAATTTTATATTTCAATTACAATTACTCATTTTTTAGTAGTTTGAGTAAAATATTTTCTTTTAATGAAATTTATACTATAAATATTCTTTCTAAATTTTAATTTTAATGATTTATTTTATCAAAATCATAGTTGCTTAAGGTTTAAGCTGTTGAAGGGCTGTAAGTTCCACTTCCTAGAGGCATTCATTTTTTTTGAGGGGAGTACTAGGGATTGAACTCAGGGGCACTCAACCACTGAGCCACATGTCCAACACTTTTTGTATTTTATTTAGAGACAGGGTCTCACTGAGTTGCATAGTTTCTCACCATTGCTGAGGCTGGCTTTGAACCCACAATCCTCCTTCCTCAGCCTCCCAAGCCCCTGGGATTACAGACATGCACCACCACTCACAGCTGAAGCATTCATTTTTAATCATTTTTGTTTTAGATTTTTGGTGTTTCATCTCAAAATCTCTAAACATTGCTTATAGTGCTAATTCTCTGTTTTTTGACTTCACAATTATATATTTGCTTGCTTTGTTTAAATATTTATTCTAAAAATTTTAAATCCAAAAACAACATTTGTGTTTTTTAAATAAGTTACTTTTTATACTTATGCTTATTTCTGAACTCTGATTATTCTCTTGTCTATAATTCCAATGGTTTTACTATTAAAAATCAAATAAGTTCTCCTTCCTTATTCCGTACCACAATCAACTGGATAATCAGTTCTGGAATGCCACTCTCTTTAATGTCTTTTATTTCCCTGTGGCCCTTAGAATATTTTTCTTCTTCATATATATTTTTTAAACAAAAGTCTGCTGGACCCATTTTTATTGATAAAAAATTTAGTAAATCTTATACCAGGGGCCATTTTAGTTTCCATTTACTGAGAAATTTCTTACATACATACAGATTTGTAGAACCTTTGCAATAGCAACATGGTTACTATTTAAAGAAAACCTTTAGACAAACTTAAAATATGTATGGAACCAGTTTTAAGCCAAACTATTCAACTTAACATTACTAATATGTGGCTTGTTATATTCTAATTGAGCTATTTCTGGATTTGGTTGTGGGTAGGTGTAAAACATTTGAAGGATTTGCCAATACTGCCAGGAGAAATATTCAAGTATAAATGGACAATAACTGTAGAAGATGGGCCAACTAAATCAGATCCTCGATGCCTGACCCGATATTACTCTAGTTTCATTAATCTGGAGAGAGATCTAGCTTCTGGGCTCATTGGCCCTCTCCTCATCTGCTACAAAGAATCTGTAGATCAAAGAGGAAACCAGGTGAGTGTTATCCTTTCCAAGTTCTGGGTTTAAAACTTAAAAATGGAAGATGCATATGAACTTCCAGATATTTTTTATTCTCTCAATGTATGTCCTCCTGTATCCTGCATAAAATACAGTAGTCTGTTTTATAGTAAAATAAAAGAAATAAACTGGGTTTCACTTAGAATGAAGTGAAAATTTTATTGCTGTGACAAAATACCTGAAAAAATCAACTTAAAGGAAGGAAAAATTTTATTTTGGTTAACTATTTAAAGATTTAAGTCCATAAGTCACTTGGCCCCGTTGCTTAGGCACATGGTGAGGCAAAATGTCACAGTGGGTATATTGTAGCAGAGCAAAGCTGCTCAATTCATGGAAGTCAAGAAGGAGAGAGAGAGAGAGAGAGAGAGAGAGAGAGAGAGAGAGAGAGAGAGAGAGAGAGAGAGAGAGAGAGAAATGTGCACAAGAAAGAGACCCAGGGACAAGATATACTTTTCTAGGTCATGCCTCCAGACCTACTTCTTACAAGTAGATCCCATCTACTGCCACTTCCATCACCTCCTGTAATCCATTGAAATTATTAATCCATCAAATGGATTAATGCATTGATGGGGTCAGAGCCCTCATAATTCAGTTACTTCCCAAAAGCTCTACCTCAGAACACTGCTGTATTGGAGACCAAACCTTCAGCACATGAGCCTTTGGGGGACATTCCAGATCCAAACTATAACAAGACTCAATTGTCTTGGACTAACTCATAAATTTGGTTCATTATATAAGTTGTTCTGAAAAATTGATTTGTTTAAATAGAAAACTTAGATATTAGTGTTGTTTGTTGTTCTTGTAGTTCACCTTATCTTATTCTGTTTTTCTATTTTTACTTTTTTATAGATTGGTAGCCTTGTGGAAAGTAGTTGCTAAATGCATGTTTAAAGAGTTAAATCCTCTAATCAGAACATGGAGAGAATGAAACTACAGACTATACCAAAAAATCAGCCAGCATATGGCCTTAAAGCCAGAAAAACTAAATTTAGTGGATCCAGTCACCCTCTTGCCTAAACATATATTCACTGCTTGTAACACCCATCCCCATTCCCAGGTCCTGGTACATGCCATAACAGTGACCCTAAGAGGAAATATAATTGAACCAAAAGCTTAGATATGTTATATATGTCATTGCTTCCATCATAGATTTCTAGTGCCTGCCTTACAGTATCAGCAGCATTTCTTTCTCCCTTTCAATACATGTAATTAACAGATGATGTCAGATAAAAGAAATGTCATCCTGTTTTCTGTATTTGATGAGAACCAAAGCTGGTACCTCACCGAGAATATGCAGCGCTTTCTCCCCAATGCAGTAGGAGTACAGCTCCATGATCCAGAATTCCAAGCCTCCAATGTCATGCACAGTGAGTAAAACATCACTTCAGTCCAGTGGGATAAAGGGAAATTGATGATGCCACCAAACTGATGTCCAGATAATGAATGCATTTAAATGCCATCTAAGAGACACATTTAAAAAAAAAGTAATCATATAACACATATTTCAAAAACCCAGTCACCAGTTTTCCTTTCAATGTTTACTTGACTGCCCTCTCCCATTTAGTTTTATTTTATCTCCTTCTATATTAATACCTTTCCATCAACCCTTCCATACCTAGGTCACTAATTTAAAGACACATTTTCTCCATAACAATACTCTCATATACTATATCATTGTATTCATATTCTAGGACTGCTATAATAATTATTACAGAGATGTATTGTCTTACACTTCTGGAGGTCGAAAGTCTGAGATCAAAGTGTTGGCAGGTTTGGTTTCTTTAGGCTCTCTCCTTTCCTTGTAGCATCTTCTATCTGTATCCTCATGTGATCTTCCCTCTCTACCTGTGTGTGTCCTAATCTCTTCATATAAGGTGATTAAGGCTCACTCTAATGATCTTATTTTAACTAACTGCCTATTTAAAGACCTATTTCCAAATACAGTCACATTCTGAGGTACTGGGTTTAGAACTAAACATCTGAATTGGAAAGGACACAACTCAGCCTGTCACATATATACATATGTGTACTGTTTATATATACACACAAATTAAATGGTCAAAAGCATGATAAAATTTCAATCTCTCTATCATTAGGGAAAGGCAAGATAGAATGCCAAAGAAATAGTACTTTATAACTATCAGACTGGCAAAACTACAAGACCATTATTACTAGTGGTTGTATGGGTAAACAGGTATTCTAGTGGATCACTGGTACAGTCTTTTTGAAACAAATGTAGTTGCATCCATTAAAATTAAAAATATATGCCTTTTGAAATTTCAGTTCTGGTTAAGATGGAATAAGCACATGTCACTGTATCTATTTCACTAAATGTGACTAAAAATCCTGAACAAAATGGGCATGGACATTATCTGAGAACCCTGAAATTTTATATAGTGGGTTATACTCTCCTTCCAGTATGTGACTTCTGTCATCTAATGCTATACCCCTTGTCTCCAAGTTTTAGCCCTTTAGCTTTGAGTTGAGCCTCGTTTGTTAAATCCTAACCTTGGTACTTCACATGTGACTGAATTTGGAGATAATATCTTTAAAGATTATTAAGTTAAAATTAAATTATTAGAGTGGGTCCTAATCTAATCTCATTGGCAATCTTGTAAGAAGAGGAGATTTGGACATACAGATATACCAGGGATGTACATGCATAGAGGAAAATCCCTGAGAAGACACAATCCAAAATAAGAAATCCAGAATATTTCTAAACCTCTCATTCCCCATTGCTTTGCAGGTATCAATGGCTATGTTTTTGATAGCTTGCAGTTGTCAGTTTGTTTGCATGAGGTGGCATATTGGTACATTCTAAGTGTTGGAGCACAGACCAACTTCTTATCTGTCTTCTTCTCTGGATATACCTTCAAACACAAAATGGTTTATGAAGACACACTTACTCTATTCCCATTCTCAGGAGAAACTGTCTTCATGTCGATGGAAAACCCAGGTTAGTTATTTATATTCTCCTTTCAACAATAGCTGTGATTACCTCACTTGCCAAGCTCAGGCATAAAAGCAACCTTCTCCTGAGAACTGCCAAGAGATAACATAGAATTTCCTTAATCTTTTATAGAACATACCCTTAGTGACCTAAGGATCTTCCATTAAGCCTCACCTCTTAAAGGTTCAACCATTTTCCAATACTGTGACTTCCTAAGCTTCTAACACATGGGCCTTTGGGGAAAAACTGCATCCAAACTATAGCATATTGCATTATATGTGATTTTAATGCATAGAATGATAGGATAGATACCATTATCCTCATTTTCAAATTTTTAAACTGGAGCTCAGAGAGCTTAAGTGCATTGCTCAAAGTAAATTTTAGAGCTAGGAGTAGAACCCAAGAAGTCTGACTCTAGAAACTATTGTAATATGGCAATAACATTTAACCTATATAAAACCCTTCCTCAAGTCACTGTCAGCGTCAGAGAGTTTTGTGTGACTATTAATAGTCTTCATTATTGTTTGTATTGATTACATTTCTCCAATTTATTCCATTTTTATTTATAGCCCTTTGTGGTCACAAACAGGTATGGCACAATAGCAGCAATGCAAAATCCACTTTTACTACCATCATTGGATTGTTACATGTGTCAAGAATTTAACCCAATGACTTGTGATATAATGGTCTTGACCAATATTTTTTCATTTATCTAAAAATGGAAGAGAACCTCTTAATACAGAATTTACTTCAAACCTGGATTCTGAGTAACCAGAGTCTTATTCTTTCTCATCTCCAGGTCTGTGGGTTCTGGGATGCCACAACTCAGACTTTCGAAACAGAGGCATGACAGCCTTACTGAAGGTTTCTAGTTGTGACAGGAACATTGGTGATTATTATGAGAACACATATGAAGATATTCCAACATATCTGACTAATGAAAACAATGTTATTCAGCCCAGAAGCTTCTCCCAAAATTTAAGGCATCTGAGCCCTAGGAAGCAATTAAAAGCTATCTTAATACAAGAAAATGACATAAAGAAGATTGACCCTCAGTTTGAAGAAGAGAGAACAGGGATCATCAAAGTACAAAGTGTCTCCAGTGATTTTTTGATGCTCTTGGGACAAAGTCCTACTCCACGTGGGTTATCTTTATCTGATCTTCAAAAAGCCACATATGAGACTATTCCTGATGATTATTCACCTGGAGCAACAGACAGTAATGAAGGTCCATCTGAAGTGGTACACCTCAGGCCTGAGCTCCAAGATGATGAAGACATAGTATTTACTCCTGATCCAGGTCTCCAATCAGGATCAAATGAGAATTTGGGAACAACTGTAGCAGTAGATTTGAAGAAATTTAATTCAAAAGTTTTGGGTTCTCCAAATAATCTATCAGAAAATTTGGCAGCAGGTCCTGAAAAGACGAATTCCTTAGGAACCCCAAATATGCCAGTTTACTTTAGTAGTCAGTTAAGCACCATTTTATTTGATACAAAGTCATCTCCCATTACTGGGTCTGGTGTATCTCTGAGCTTGAGTGAAAGAAATGATTCCAAGTTGTTGGAAGCAGATTTAATGAATAGTAAAGAAAACTCACTGGGAAAAAATGTATCATTAATGAAGAGTAAAGGATTACTTAAAAAGAAAATAATTCATACACCTTCTTTGTTGACCAAAGATAATGCTTTATTTAAATTTAATATGTCTTTGATAGAAGCAAACAAGACATCTAATAATTCAACATCGAATGGAAGAACTTATCCTGACAGCCCAACGTTCTTAATTGAGAATAGTACATCTGTCTGGCAAGACACTATATTAGAAAGCAATACTGGGCTTCAAGAAGTGACATCTTTGATCCAAGACAAAATGCTAATAATGCACAAAAATACTCCAGCTTTGAGGCTAAATTATGTGTCAAATAAAACTACTCCATTAAAGAATATGGAAATAGGTTACCAAAAAAGGGTGGGGCCTGTGCTACAAGATTCAGAGTCAGCAAATTGGCAGCAAAAGACCCATGCAAAGAACTTCTTGAATTCTGGACTGAAGCAATTAATATCCTTAGCATCAAAAAAGTCTGTAAAAGATCAGAATTTCTTGTCAGAGAAAAATAAAGTAGTAATAGCAGAAGATGAATTTACAAAGGACACAGAACTCAAAGAGTTGATTTTTCCGAGAAACAGGACCATATTTCTTACTAACTTGACTAATGTACAAGAAAACGATACACACAATCAAGAAAAAAAATTTCAGGAAGATATAGAAAAGAACGAAGCATTAATTCAAGAGAATGTAGTTTTGCCTCAGGGGTATACACTGACTGGCAATAAGAATTTCCTAAAGAACCTTTTCTTACTGAGTACTAGGCAGAATATAAGTTTAGATGAGGGGACATATACACCATTACTTCAGGACACCAGGTCAGTAAATGATTCAACAAATAGAACAGAGATTCACGTGGCCCATTTATCAAAAAGTAAGGAGGAAGAGGAAACAAACTTGGTGAATCAAACCAAGCAAATAATGGAGAAATACATAAGCACCACAAGGATGTCTCTTAATCCATGCCAGAAGAATGTTATTGTTCAACATGGTAAGCAGACGTCAAAGGAATTCAAACTCCCACTAGAAGAAACGGAGCTTGAAAGGGGGCTAATTGCAAATGACAGCTCAGCCCAGTCATCCAAAAACATGAAATATTTGACGCACATAGACTATAATAAAAAGCAGGAGAAAACCATTATTCAATCTTCCTTATCAGATTTTCCTGTGATGAATCATGACATCACTCAGATGAATAGCTCTACATTGCCCATTACAAATATATCACCATTTCCATCAATTATACCTACAGATTTGACCAAGATCCCATCCCAAGACAATTCTTCTCATTTTCTAGCCTACAGTTATACTTTTAGGACAAAAAGTTCTAGGACCCAAGAAAGCAGTCATTTCTTACAAGGAGCAAAAAGAAATAACCTTTCTTTATCCATCCTATCTTTGGAGATGATCAAAGATCAAAGAAAGGTTGGCTCCATGAGGACAAGTGCCACAAACTCAGTCACGTGTAAGTATAATGAGAGTAATGTTCTCTTGAAACCAGTCTTGCCCAAAGTATCTGGAAAAGTTGAATTGCTTCTTAAACTTCCCATTTATCAGAAAGACCTTTTAACTAGAGAAACTAGTCGTGATTCTCCTGGCCACCTTGAAGTCATGGAAAATATCCTTCTTCAGAAAACACCAAGACCTATCAAAGGGAATAAAACAAATAGACCTGGAGAAGTTCCCTTTGTTAAAGTGGCAATGGAAAGCTCTGAAAAGACTCCATCCAAGCTGCTGGGTCCTACTCTTCAGTTAGAGCAAGAAGACGTTGACTATGATGATACCATCTCATTTGTAACAAAGAGGGAAGATTTTGACATTTATGGTGAGGATGAAAACCAGGGCCCCCGCAGCTTTCAAAAGAAAACACGACATTATTTTATTGCTGCAGTGGAGCGGCTCTGGGACTATGGGATGAGTAGATCTCCTCATGTTCTAAGAAACAGGTATGAGTCCATTGTTCTGCTGTTGTGATCTTTGACTTTACCAACTGCTGAAATGGTAAGAAAGGCACCCCCAATTTGTAGCAGTGAGATACCAGAGATTGCTTTACAGAGGAACCCTAAGAACCAGGTGGCAAAAAATCTAGATGAAGCTGAGGAATAAATGAGAATAGATAATGGCAAATGAAGATGTCATGGGGCTGGGGCTGTAGTTCAGTGATAGAGCACTTACCTTGCATGTGTGAAGCACTGGGTTTGACCCTTAGCACCACATATTAATAAAATAAAGGTCTCATTGACAACTAATTTTTTTAAATGTTGTGAAATTCTTTCTCTTGAGAGAAGTTTACAAGAGGAATAGAGGAGTCAGGGGCAAGAAGCAGCAATGGGGAAGAAATTCATCTTCATCTCTCAAACCCATAAGCTGCAGAAGAAATCTTATTCTTATGAAAGGTGTAAGAGAGGAGGGAGGAAGAACTGAAGCATGTAGTAAAGAAGTTGAAGATGTAGGCAGGATTGTTTTCCAAGGTACGAGATCCAGAGGGTAAAATAGGGTGACTTGATTTTTAGGGGAGCAGAAGGAGGCTGGTCAAGGTAGAGAAAGCAGAGACAAATTTGGAAGACAAACATGAGGGTCAGTCAGGAAGTGTTATATGGTATCTGTACAATTGTAGACATTGGAGTACAGCATAGTAGAAGCTTGCACTCTCTTGAGGAGAGCAAGAGATAATAAATCAGTAGACAAATAAGGGAATTTCAATGGTGCTATTCAGAAGATAGAATAGAATAATATGGTAAAGAGTGACTGGGGGTACTTTAGCTGTGGTGCTCAGAGAAATCCTCTTTGAGGAGTTCAGCCCAAACAATATGGGGCAAACATGACTTGAGTATAGTGAAGAATCCAAGGTATGGTATATGGAGGGAAGATGAGGTGGTAGACGCAAACATCAGTCAGATAATACAGGTCCTAGAGGAGATCCCCTCTTCATTACTCATTATATACTCATCCCCCTTGCTTTCTATCTGAAGTGAGCTCTCATTGCTTCATGCTGATGCTATTCACCTATATTTAGCACTACATATGCACTGCTTCTGTAATAATAAAACACTATTAAAATAATAAAATCAGAGACTGGCCTGGCAAGCTAGGATTAGGAGGTGGTTCCCTGAAGAGGAACTCCATTCCCCAAGACTCACAAGCCTGTTGGCCTAATCACTATGCTGCCTCCATCCTTCCCTGAGCTCCCTTAGTACCAGGCAGTCCAGCACAGAGAGGGAAGGTGGCTGGGTGGGGAGTGGGAACATTGGTCTTTATATGGTGGTGGCTTTGGGGGGCCTATTTTCTGTGTGCTTCTTTGTTGTTGTTTTTTTTTTTTTTGAGTTGGGATCTAACTATGTTGCTCAGGTTGTTCTCAAACTTCTGAGCTCAAGTGATCCTCCTGCCTCAGCCTCCCAAATAGCTGGGACTACAGTTGAGAGACACCAAACTTAGAAGACAAAAGATGCTTGCCTGGCAAAAGTAGAGCAGATGGAGGGAGAAGACGAGGACAAATTATTAAATAGCCTTAAGAAAAGAACAAAGAAGGAGAGGCCTTGTCCATCAGATATCCCTTTCTGTATGAATAAGACTACTGTCAATGTACATGGAAATTTACAGAATGAATTGCTGTCATTGAAAATGATTTGAATGAACTGACCTTTTGCTTCACAGTGGCAACACAATTCTTGCTTATTAGAGAGACTAAATAACAAGAAATTCCGCTTGAGCAGGCACTTAAAGAAAAGCCCTGGTGGGTATATTATTTGTTCCTGCAGAAGAACATTTGTAGTGTCATGAAGTGTAAGCTCTGAGAAGGGAAAGGAAGAGGGTCCAGAGCCATGGACAGTCACAGAGGACAATAAGCTAAAGAAGATCCCTAGGTGTTACCATGGCCATACAAAAGTGTGGGAAATGGATTTAAAAGGATGAATCAACAGGTGCTTTCCCTGAGTTAATAGTCTCTAAGTTGCAACCATCTTGCCTGCATTAAAGCCAAAGGTAGCAGAAAGAAGGAAGTAACAAAGATCAGACTAGAAACAACTGAAATGGAGATAACAGCAATAAGAACTAAGAATTTTTTGATGGGCTAAACAAAATTTATAGAGAAAGAAAATGAGGTGATGATATTTAGGATGTGTTGAAATAGTTGTTAACCTAGAATTTTATATCCATCAAAATACAAATGAAGTTGAAAAAAAAGGACATTTTCAGACAAGCAGAAACAAACTTCCCTGCTACCAAAGATTCATTAAAAATAGCTGATGATAGGCTGGCGGTGTAGCTCAGTGGTAGAGCATTTGCCTAACATGTGCAAGACACTGGGTTCGATCTTTGGCACCACATAAAATGAATAAATAAAATGGAGGTATAAAAAATGTTGTATTTGTTAAAAAATACTCTGATGTTATACTTACTACAAAAGTGGTTCCAACAAGATATGAGAAGCAAGAAGGAATAAAGAGCAAAGACCGGGGAACTATGTGGATAAATATAAATAAGCATTATTTATATAAACAATGATAAATTTTAAAAATCAATATATATGTGATTGCTTTTTTCACAACATGTCTGCTTCCAAAACACAGATATCATGAAATCACTGCAAAATGTAAGCCAAAATTGGGAAAGAAGATTCATATCAACATCATTATCATTGAACAAATGGATTTGAGAAAGTCTACCATTACTGACAATGTAATCTACAAATCTGGTGCGATAACAAAGAACCATCAAAAAATTAAGAAGGAGGGTGCTGAAATGGGAAGGGGCTCCTTTAAGTATGCCTGGGTTTTGGATCAATTGAAAGCTGAGGATGAACATGGCATCACCATTCTCCCTGAGGACATTTGAGACCAGCAAGTATCATGTGACCATCGTTGATACCCCAGGTCATATAGACTATCAAAAACATGATTACAAGGCTGACAAGGTGGCACATGCCTATCATCTCAGCATGTCAGGAGGCTGAGGCAGGAGGATAGTGAGTTCAGAGCCAGCCTCAGCAAAAGCAAGGTGCTAAGCGACTCACTGAGACCCTGTCTCTAAGTAAAATACAAAATAGAGCTGGGGAGTGGTTCAGTGATCAAGGGCCCCTGAGTTCAATCCCCAGTATCAAAAAACCCACAAACAAACAAACAAAAACATGAAAACATGCTAACCTTTCAGACTGACCACGCTGTTCTGATAGTTGCTGCTGCTGTTGGTGAATTTGAAACTGGTATCTTCAAGAATGGACAGATTTGTGAGCATGCCCTTCTGACTTACACACTAGGTGGTGCTAACAAAATAGATTCCACTGGGCCACACTACAACCAGAAGAGATATGAAGAAATCATTAGGGAAGTCAGTACTACCTTAAGAAAATCAGATACAACCCAACACAGTAGTATTTTGTGGCAATTTCTGACTGAAATCATGAAAACATGCTGGAACCAGGAATGGTTCAAGGGATGGAAAATCACCTGTAAAGATGCCAGTGCCACTGGAATCATGCTGCTCATACCTCCAATTTGCATCCAGTGACCAACTTATCCAACTGACAAGCCCTTATATTAAGCACTTCAAGATGTCTATAAAATTAGTGGTATTGATACTGTCCTTGTGGGCTAAGTGGAGACTGGTACTCTGACATTGAGCAAGGTGCTCACCTTTGTCCCAATTAATGTTATAATTGAAGAAAAACCTGTTGAAATACATCATGAAGTTTTGAGTGAAACTCTTCCTGAAGACAATGTGAGACTCAGTGTCAAAAATGTGTCTGTCAAGGGCTGGGATATGGCTCAGTGGTAGAGCACTTGCCTACCAAGCAAGAAGGCTTTTGTTCTACCACCAGCACTGCAAAGAAGGAGAAGGGAGAGGAAGGTGATGGTGGAGAGTAGTAGGAGGGGGAGTATGAGGAGAAGGAGGAGGAGTGGCAAAGATGTTAATTGTGGCAACATGGCTGGTGACAGCAAAAACGGAAGTACTGCTGGACGCAAAGGCACACTCCTGTAATCTAGCTCAGGAGGCTGAGGCAGTAGAATCACAAGTTCAAAGCCAGCCTCAGCAACTTAGTGAGGCCCTAAACAACTCACTGAGACCCTGTCTCTGAATAAAATACAAAATAGGGCTGCAGATTATCCTGACTTATGCGCACCAAATCAATAATGGTTCTGCACCTGTGCTAGATTCTGACACAGCTCACATTGACACAGCTCACATTGCTTGCAGGTTTGCTGAGTGATTGCCATTCTGGTAAGAAGCCAGAAAATTGGTCCCACTGAATTTTTTTTCAATACTAGAGATTGAATCCAGGGATCAAACATGCTAGGCAAATATTCTACCACTAAAATACATTTCCAGTCCTTTTTTTTTTTTCAGACAGGGCTTTGCTAAATTGTTCAGGCTAGCCATGAACTTGAGATACTTTGGCCTCAGCCTCCTGAGTAACTAGGATTACAGGCATGGGATATTTATCATGCCAGGCTCCATTGTGATATTTTTAATTGATTTTATATTTTAAATACATGACAGCAGAATGCATTACAATTCTTAATGAACATATAGAGCACAGTTTTTCATATCTCTGTATATAAGTATGTTCACACCAGTTCCTGTCTTCATATATGTACTTTGGATAATGAGGTCCATCACATTCCTCCATCATTGCTAATCCCCTGCCCCCTCTCTTCCCCTCCCACCCCTCTGCCCTATCTAGAGTTCATCTATTCCTCCCATGCTCTGCCTCCCTACCCCCCTAAGAGTCAGTCACCTTATATCAGAGAAAACATTCAGTATTTCTTTTTTGGAGATTGGCTAACTTCACTTAGCATTATCTTCTCCAACTCCATCCATTTGTTTACCTGTGAATGCCATGATTTTATTCTCTTTTATTGCTGCATAATATTCCATTGTATATATATGCCACATTTTTTAATCTATTCATCTACTGAAGGGCATCTACGTTGGCTCCACAGTTTAGGTATTGTGAATTGTGCTGCTATAAACATTGATGTGGCTGTGTCCGTGTAGAATGCTGTTTTTAAGTCCTTTGGGTACACACTGAGGAGAGGAATAGCTGGGTCAAATAGTGGTTCCATTTCCAGTTTTCCAAGGAATCTCTAACCTGCTTTCAATATTGGCTGCACCAATTTGCAGTCCCACCAGCAATGTATGAGTGTACCTTTCCCCCCACATCCTCACAAACACTTATTGTTGTTTGCCTTCATAATAGCTGCCATTCTGACTGGAGTAACATGAAATCTTAGAGTAGTTTTGATTTGCGTTTTTCTAATTGCTAGAAATGATGAACATTTTTTTCATATATTTGGTGATTGATTGTATATCATTTTCTGAGAAGTGTCTGTTTATATCCTTGGCCCATTTATTGATTGGGTCATTTTGTTGTTGTTGTTGCTTAGCTTGTTGGGTTCTTTATATACCCTAGAGATTAGAGCTCTATCTGATGTGCGAGGGGTAAAAATTTGCTCCCAAACTGAAGGCTCTCTGTTCACCTCACAGATTGTTTCTTTTGCTGATAAGAATTTTCTTACTTTGAGTCTATCCCATTTATTGACTCTTGGTTTTAATTCTTGCACTATAGGAGTCTTATTAAGGAAGTTGGGGCCTAATCCCACGTGATAAAGATTAGGGCCTACTTTTTCTTCTAATAGACACAGAGTCTCTGGTTTAATTCCTAGGTCCTTGATCCTCTTTTAGTTGAGTTTTGTGCATGGTGAGAGATAGGGGTTTAATTTCATTTTGTTGCATATGGATTTCCAGTTTTCCCAGCACCATTTATTGAAGAGGCTATCTTTTCTCCAACATATGTTCTTGGTGCCTTTGTCTAATATAAGATAATTGTAATTTTGTGAGTAAGTCTCTGTGTCCTCTATTCTGTACCATTGGTCTACCAGCCTGTTTTGGTGCCAATACCATGCTGTTTTTGTTACTATTGCTCTGTAGTATAGTTTAAGGTCTGGTATAGTGATACCACCTGCTTCACTCTTCCTGCTAAGGATTGATTTAGCTATTCTGGGTCTCTTATTTTTCCAGATGAATTTCATGACTGTTTTTTCTATTTATATGAGGAATGCCACTGAAAATTTGATTGGAATTGCATTAAATCTATATACTGTTTTTGGTAGTATGGCCACTTTAATAATATTAATTCTGCCTATCCATGAGCAAGGTAGAACTTTCCATCTTCTAAGGTCTTCTTTGATTTCTCTCTTTAGGGTTCTGTAGTTTTCATTGTATAGATCTTTCACCTGTTTCGTTGATTCCCAAGTATTTTCCCATTATAATTTTTTGAAAATATTTTTATTTATATTTTTTAGTTGTAGTTGGACACAACACCCTTATTTTATTTATTTATTTTTATGTGGTGCTGAGGATCGAACCCAGGGCCTTGCACGTGCTAGACAAGTGCTCTACCCCTGAGCTACAGCCCCAGTCCAATGATTTTTATTGTTATGGTTTCTTTATAATTTGGTCTTGAGATTTCTCTCTTGAGAGTGAATATAAACTAACATAGTCACTTTCCAGAAGAACCCATACTGGGATCCAAGTTAGGTGAAGGTGTGTTGGTCACGTGAGAAACAACATGCAGAAGTGAAATCAACATGCAGAATGAAATAAAATAGTAACAAATACCTAGAAATAAGTATTTCAAAAAGTTTACATAGACTTGTCTATGAGCCTAAGCTTGTGGCTCAGCAGTAGAGTGCTAGCATAGCACATGTGAGGCACTGGGTTTGATCCTCAGTACCACAGAAAAATAAATAAATAAAATAAGGGTGAAAAAAGAATTTTCTATGACAATTACTGAGAAACTTAAATATACCTAAATAAATGCTGAGATATACTATGTATGTGGACTCAAAACATGGTATCTGAAAACGTAAATTATTCACAAACTAATCTATGATTCAGTGCAACTTGAATGAAAATCCCGACAAGTCTTTTCTTTTGTAGAACTCAACAAATTATTTTTAAAATTTTTAATATATATTTTTAGACATTGATGGACCTTTATTTTGTTCATTTATTTATATGAGGTGCTGAGAATTGAACCTAGTGCCCCGTACACACTAGGCAAGCGCTCTACCTTTGAGCCACAACCTCAGCTGCACAATTTAATTTTTTTTTAAAAAAAGTAAAGAAAAAAAGTCCAAGGACTGGATCTTGGGGCTCTCATATTTAGACTATGTTTATAAACTATACTCTTTCAATATTTAAAAATATTCTTGAGTACTAACTACTTTGTGTCAGGTACTCTTCCAGCTGCTGGGAATATAGCAGTGAATACAACAGGCAAAACTACCTCCTTTCATGGAACTTAGTAGTACAAGAGGATGGAATGGTTAACTAAACACAATGTTGTTTAGCTGTCTAGTAAAAGGAGAACATAAAAGTTCACTTGGATACCATCTAGATTGCTTTTGTGAACTCCTTACCTCTGTGTATTTGCCAATGTAATACACCTAGATGTACCATATGTCCAAAATCGTACACCGTAACCAACCCCTCCTCTAGGATTTTCCATCTCAGTGAATTGCATGCCATCCACTCATTTGTCCCAACCAGAAACCCCCAAATTATCTGTAATTCTTCTTTCTCTTCTCTCTGACCCATTGCACTTGCAATCCATCATCAATTCTATTAAATATATCTAAAATACAGGAAAAGAAGTATGTGAGGCATTTCTACCTACTTGGTCCACGAGGATACTACTTTTCCTCTACATTTTCTCCAGGGATCAGAGTGGCAGTGCTTCTCAGTTCAAGAAGGTAGTTTTCCAGGAATTTACTGATGGCTCCTTTACTCAACCCTTATACCGTGGAGAACTAAATGAACACTTGGGACTCTTGGGGCCATATATAAGAGCAGAAGTTGAAGACAATATTGTGGTGAGTTAAAGACAGTGGAATTACAAGAAAATTAATTCCACATCTTTATTTTGTTTCCTTTTTTAAATATTGATTTTATTTTTTTTAAATACACAACAGTGGAATGCATTACAATTCTTATTACACATGTAGAGCACAATTTTTCATATCTTTGTATATAAAGTATGTTCACACCAATTCATGTCTTTATACATGTACTTTGTTTATTTGCATTAAATTCTTATTACACATATATACCACAATTTTTCATATCTCTGTTTGTATATAAAGTAGGTTGACACCCAATTTCTGATTATAAAAATAATGTACTCTAAGGCTGGATTTGTAGTTCAGTGGTAGAGTGCTCTCCTCACATGTATGAGGCCCTGGGTTCAATTCTTAGCACCACATAAAAATACATAAATAAAAATAAAGATATGATGAAATCTAACAACTGAAAAAATTAAAGTACAGAAAAATAAAGAAGTTGAAAAATAACCCCTTAGTTAATTTTTATGTTTTTTTCCTATGTGTTTTTCTTTCTGTATTGAAAATTATATCATATGTAATTCTGCTTCTTTTTTTACCAAATGTCATATAATTAACATTTTCATGTCATCAAAAACACTTCCTAAGCAGGAATGATTACATAATTATCTATTATATGAATTTATGGAACCACTGTTTACTTAGCCATTTACTTTGATCAGTGTTTCAGACTGTTTCTTTTTTCACTATGTAAGTGTCCAATCAAAATCCACGAACAATTTAAGACCTTTTCATATGAATTATCTATTAAATTCTCCTTTTTCATTGGTCTTATATATTTATTAATATTTTTAAGGAAAAATGACTACTGTAGGATTTGGGTGATATAAAAAATTCTTTTGGTAGAGTCTGGAGCTTTCTTTCTTTTTAAAAATATTTATATTTTAGTTTTAGGTGGACACAATATCTTTATTTTATTTTTTTATGTAGTGCTGAGAATTGAACCCAGTGCCTCATTCATGTTAGGCAAGCGTCTACCACTTGAGCCATATCCCCAGCCCCAGAATCTGGAGCTTTCTAGTGAAGTTTTAATCAACATATTGCAGAAAGAAGACATACTTGGCCACGTGATCTTACATATTTCAGGTTGCCATTGTACATTATGGATTTTCAGGACACAGAGTAAATCTTGCTGTGCTGGGATAAATAAAGGAACTCTACTATATTCATCTTTCTTCAGGGCACTTCTGGGAGCCAGTTTTGTAGTAAAGCAAATTTCTTAGATGTTACTTTAGTAGAGCTAGTAATTATATTAGCAGTATTTCAAGATAACCATACCATGTGAGGAAATACAAAAGTACCAGTGATTACTTTTGTAACAGTCACAGGTATTTACTATTGTACGATAATACTCTGTGGCTTTATGATGCAGAACCTAGATTCATAGTTGAAAGTCATTCTCACTTTGAACTTAATTAATGATTTGCCCTCCCCATCTGAAAGCACAAACACCAAGTTAAGAACTGGTTGTCCCTTTTGTAAAAATTACAAATATAATTAATGTTCTCTAGGTGTGCTAATTAAGTGAACACAAGCTTTAATCTTCTAGAATTAGTAAGACTTCACTGAGTTTTCAGAAAGCACAGAGGCAGTGGGAAGATTCCGGTCTGTGGATGTGAAGACTGATATAATCTGAGAAATTCTTCCTTTTTGACATTTTCATTGGCTTTATGTTTATAAAAGTCCCTTCCTACCCAGATACTTAAAAGAATCACTTATACTTTCTTTTATACCTTAATTATTTACATTTTTATTTTTAATCCATCAATAATTCCCATAAACTAGATGTTATTTTGGTACATCATGTGAGACCAAAGTCGTTTTATTTTCTGTTCAAAATAGCCATCCATGTTCCTAGTTGATTTTTTATAGTAAGGATGCAGAAGGATCTAAAATTATGGGTACTTTTTTTCTGACTTGAATTTTATTTTACTTTCCACATGCTATATAATATGTGTACTTTTTCAAATTGAAAAAAAAGTCTTTAAAACAAATCTTTTTCAAAGATAATATGCATTAATCCTGGAATGTATCATGAAGATACATCCTTTTACTTGGAAATTACCTTTAAGTTGCATTTCCCTGATCAATAAGGTTGAGAATCTTTTCATGAGTAGCAGTAATGTGGATATCTTCTTTTGTGGAGCTTCTCTCCAAGTTTTTTTTTTTTTTTTTTTGCCAATTTTTGTACTGGATAATCTACTTTTTTCTTATGAATTCCAAGAAGTATCCTATATAATCTTGACATGAGTCTTTTGCTTTATACATTGTAAACAACCAAACATTCTCTCCCATTCTATTCAAGAATTTTCTCTTGGGGCTGGGGTTGTGGCTCAGTGGTAGATCACTCACCTAGCATGTGCGAGGCCCTGGGTTCGATCCTCAGCACCACATATAAATAAATAAAATAAAGGTATTGTGTCCAACTGCAACTAAAAAGTAAGTATTAAAAAATTGCTTTAAAAATAATTTTCTCTTTCAATGTTTCGTTATTGTTGTTATCTTGATTTTTTTTTGTGTATGTGTGTGCGTGTTTTCTCTGCAGGTAACTTTCAAAAACCAGGCCTCTCGTCCCTACTCCTTCTATTCTAGCCTAATTTCTTATAAGGAAGATCAAGGACAAGGAACAGAACCTAGAAAAAACTTTGTGAAGCCGAATGAAACAAAAACTTACTTTTGGAAAGTACAATATCATATGGCACCCACTAAAGATGAGTTTGACTGCAAAGCTTGGGCTTATTTCTCTGATGTTGATCTGGTAAGTAGGTCTTCATTGTGCTGGGTATTTTCTGGTTTAAAAGAAATGATCTTTGTGTTTATGTGCTAAAAATTTTGGTATTTATCCTAAGCACAATGAAAATCTTTAAATTTTTGTGTTTTAGAAACTTCACGTAGAACCTACTGAAATAGATGAACTGTTGTATGGGGGACAGGTTAAAATGGCAGGAAAGGTGATGAGAAGTCTAGTCTGGTTTGTAAGTGAGAGAGCTTACACTAATAGTGTTGATGTCTTCCCTCCCTAGGAAAGAGATGTGCACTCAGGCTTGATTGGACCCCTTCTGATTTGTCACACTAACACTCTGAACCCTGCTCATGGAAGACAAGTGACAGTGCAGGAATTTGCTCTGTTTTTCACTATCTTTGATGAGACCAAGAGCTGGTATTTCCGTGAAAACATGGAAAGGAACTGCAGGGCACCCTGCAATATCCAAATGGAAGACCCAACTTTTAAAGAGAATTATCGTTTCCATGGTAACATATTCTACACCCAAATATAGCATGCACTTATTCCAATGAGCCTTGAGCCAGAGACTTGATCATTGCATGACTTGAAAGTATAGATGCAGGACTGGAATCCGCACAGCTGTCAGTATTTTTGGTAGTCTGGAGGGAAAGAAACTTCTACAATAAATTTTAACAGCTTTCTCTGTTCTTCTCCAGCAATCAATGGCTATGTGATGGATACACTACCTGGTTTAGTAATGGCTCAAGATCAAAGGATTCGATGGTATCTGCTCAGCATGGGCAGCAATGAAAACATCCATTCTATTCATTTCAGTGGACATGTGTTCACTCTACGGAAAAAAGAGGAGTATAAAATGGCAGTGTACAACCTCTATCCAGGTATGACCTTCTTTGTATTCTTTTACTTATAGTACTTGAGTACTTACTTTGCATGAATACAATCACTGCACAAAGCAGACAAGCTCCTTGCTTTCAAGTAGCAAGTCAAGTAACTTTAATGTACAGAAAGATAAATCAATTAGCAAATGAATAAGATTATTTCAAGTATATAAAAATTATTATAAAGGGATTAGAACAGAATAAATGGATGATTAATGTCACAGCATCTTCCCAGGAATAGTTTCATTTTCCTTCTCAAATCCAGTATTATACCACTAGTTATTCAAGGAGTGATTTATTTAAGTATTTAACCAGTGTATATGACAATGTTGACTGAACACTATTTTGGTCCTCCACTAAAACAGGTTTAATAGTGGGGATTAATTTCCCCTCTTTCCTCATAAATATTCCAGTAAGCCCTGTGACTTTTCTCCTCACTTGGGGATTGAACTCAGGAGCACTCAGCCACTGAGCCACATCCCCAGCCCTATTTTGTATTTTATTTAGACACAGGGTCTCAATGAGTTGCTTAGCACCTTGCTTTGCCTGAGGCTGACTTTGAACTTGCGATCCTCAATCTCAGCCTCCCCGGCTGCTGAGATTACAGGTGTGTGCCACAGCACCCAGCTTGGTAACTCTTAAGTAACAAACAAACCTGTACTTCATATGTCACATACAGTTCAAGTCAGAAATTATAATATTCATTTCAGGGTATTGACAAAAATTCTGTAGTTGATTTAACTTCAATCTTCCCACCCCCAGTTGAGCCTACATCAAGTTAGAAGTCTGCATTGGAAAAAAGAAACATGGTTAAGTCCTCTGTTTCTCTGCTTTGTGCTTATTGTGCCCTCCCAACCCCTCAATAGGCTCCCTTAGATCCCATATCAGATCAATAGGAAACAGGCTTTTTGCTCTGAAAACCCATGGGAGTGTAGGCCAGTCCTAATATTACAGGAGTAGCCTTCTCCTGTATCCATGATCAAAGCATCTAGTGACCCTGTCTGATTTTCTGGGAGGGAAGTGGTCAAAATTCAATCTCCAAGTGCTCCAACTAGAGGAATCACATAGAAAGCAGTGGAGGAACTGAATTTGGTAGATATTCTTTGATATTCTATATAAGTCGATATATTTGTGCTCATTTATTTGTTCCTTTTGGTTTTGAAAAGGTGTTTTTGGGACAGTAGAAATGCTACCATCCAAACCTGGAATTTGGCGGATACAATGCCTTATTGGAGAGCACCTACATGCAGGGATGAGCACTCTTTTTCTGGTGTACAGCAAGCGTGAGTAGCACTGTGGGCAGAGGTTACCTACCTACCTAACCTACCTAGCCTATTTTTTTTTTTTTTGGTACTGGGGATTGAACTTAGGAGCACTCAACCACTGAGCCACATCCCAACCCTTCTTTCTATTTTATTTAGAGACAGGGTCTTGCTGAGTGTTTTTAGGGCCACACTAAGTTGCTGAGGCTGGCTTTGAACTCAGGATCCTCTTGCCTCAGCCTCCTGAGCTGCTGGGATTACAGGTGTGCACTACTGCCACCAATCTCAGCCTACTTTTGTATAGCTTTCCTTCTCCTTGGAATTATTGCCTTTGTTGAGAAATATAATACAAGCTCATACCATTATTACATTTAAATTGAATATTATTGTTTGATTTCAGAGTGTCAGATTCCCTTGGGAATGGCTTCTGGACACATTAGAGATTTTCAGATCACAGCTTCAGGACAATATGGTAAATACTATTATTTTTCACTCCAAGAACCTGAGATGAATGTATCTTTTTAAAATTTCTGTTGGATAGTTGCAGATAACTAATCCATCTCCATGCTTTTATTAATTATACTCCATCAATGGAACTCAAATCCATCTTGTTCTCTCCATTTTGTGCTGTGACCATCTTAATTCAGGCCACTTTCATTTCTCACCTAGACAGTGACACTGCCTCCTTAAATATTCTCTCCATTTTCAGTATTGTTCCCTTAAGCCCATTCTCTTCACTTTTGTGTAAGAAGTAATGGTTGAATAGAATTTATAGAGTTCTTAAATATTGGGGGATTTATTGTTGTTACTGGGGATTGAACCCAGGGGCACTGAATCACTGAGCCAAATCCCCATCCTTTTTAAATTTTTATTGTGAGACAATGTCTCATTAAGTTGCTGAGGGCCTCGCTAAATTGCTGATGCTGGCCTCAAACTCATGATCCTCAAGTTACAGCTTCCTGAATTGCTGGAAGTATAGGTGTGTGTCATCATGCCAGGCTATTTTCTTTTCTATTTTACCATGTTTTATTGGTACATTACAGATAAATATAATGGTGGGATTTGTTATTACATATTCATACATGCATATAGTATAACAATATAATTTGTCCAATATCATTTGGTATCAAATTCCAGTATCAAGTAAATTCAGGTGCTAACAATCGACAAAGTTATTAAAGAATTAAAGTTTAGAAGTTTACAACAATAATAAGCAAAAGTCTTAGTTATCAATACTGCTAGGCTTCAAAGTTTTTATATCTTTCTCTATCTTGTTTCCACGTGTCTAAGGACCAACCTAGTTGAATATAATCTCTCTCCTCTCCCCTTTCCTGGGCAAAGGACAGTGGGCCCCAAAGCTGGCCAGACTTCATTATTCTGGATCAATCAATGCCTGGAGTACCAAGGAGCCCTTTTCATGGATCAAGGTTAGAGAACTTAATGAATGAGGGGATTTATATCATATTTGATTACATTAATTATCCTCTTACAAGCTCAAAGCATTATACATGTCCTTTATATTGCAGTAATTTCCAATCACACCTAAGACTGTGTATTCTATTGTTAGATGCCTTTAAACGAGTAAATGTCCTTCAGTCCTCCAAAATTCTTCATTTTAACACAAAACAAGTGGTTCAATCCCCTACCTTTCAAGCAAAGACACCGTAGCTACCTTTCTAAAACCAAGTTGATCTTTTTCATCAATCATACACCACTTGATAGTATTTCATACATACTTAAATTTAGTGTAATCTGGTGAACTAAGATAGAATTAATACTTCAAATAATGTGTTTAGTTTAACTCAATTGCTTTTTTAAAAATATTTTTTTCAGATATTGATGAACCTTTATTTAATTCATTCATTTATATGTGGTGCTGAGAACTAAAACCCAGTGCCTCACACATGCTAGGCAAACACTCTACCACTGAGCCACAACCCCAGCCTCTCATAGGTTAGGTTTTCAGATTTTCTCACTTTCCTATTTCCTCTAGAGCAGCACTGTTCAATGGAAATAGAACATGAGCTGCAAACGCAAATGACATGTTTAATTTTTCATTTTCTAAAACGAGGGAAGCTGGGGTAGGCCTCTATTTTAGTGAGAAGGCCTAAAAGGCAAAAAGCCTTGCCCACAGGCAGAGTGGATGTTCATATAGAGGAAACGATTCAATGATTTGGAATTTGGTTTGTTAGGAAGCAGGGGCTCAATAAGCACCTTTTCTACTCATTCCCACCATTTATCCCACAACCACACAAATATGTTCAGCTTTCAAAATTTGTGTCTGCTTCACCTGTATATCCAAGATAACAATACACACATCTGTAGCAATGTAGATTCTTCCTAAACCCATAATTAATTTCAGAAGATATTACATGCTTTTTAAAAACAGATTTAAATAAAATGTTTTTTTTAATTGATAGGTAGATCTGTTGGCACCAATGATTATTCATGGCATCAAGACCCAGGGTGCCCGTCAGAAGTTCTCCAGCCTCTATATCTCTCAATTTATTATCATGTATAGTCTTGATGGGAAGAAATGGATGACTTATCGAGGGAATTCTACTGGCACCTTAATGGTATGTACTTAGTCCTTTCAAGAGAATTAATGAATGCTTTAAAGATCTTCTGATGGATTTCAGATATGGGACAAACAGTCTTAGATTCTGTAAGTTTAACTTTAAAAAAGAATTTTCTACCTTTGGTTAATAGTTGTTGTTGTTATTATTATGGTGCTGGGGATTGAACCCAGGGCCTTGTATGTGTGAGGCAAAAACTCTACCAACTGAGCCATATCCCCATCTCTACCTTTGGTCAATAGTTATTATAAGGAATTATGAACAGAGATCTTTGTAGTTCTCTATATCCTATGGTTGTAGGCAGATATGACTTAGTGATTAAGGACAAGAGTTACAGAGTTGTAGTGACAAATGCTCAACTCTCCTCATCCCCAGTTCCATTATGCTATGGTAAGGGCACTGGTGGGAAAGAATGGAACTCTAAGACCTGGGATGGAGACACTTAGGCAGACATGGATGAAGCTGAGAATTTCAAAATTCCAAATCCCCCTGAACCACCTTTGCCTGAGGAATCAACCTCTCCCCAGTCTCTAAAGCAATAATTCTTCCTTTGCATAAAAGCTTTTCAGTGACCAAACTGAGATAGTTGCTTTACAAGAGAGTAATTGTTTTCCTTATTGCCCCTGTTTGGCCATTACAAAAGCCAAATGAGAGATAGAACATGGCAGCAGACCACCACAAATTCAAACAGGTGGTGATACCAAAAAACAATTGCAATTCCAGATATTATACCTGTTTTAAAGTAAATTAACACAGACTCAGACACCTGATATGGAACTATTTATCTAGAAAGAAGCTTTTTCTTCATTCCCATTGAGAAGCAAAATCAGAACATATTTGCATTTATGAGGTAGGAATGATAATATTGTTTATTGCTCGTATGTCAGAGCAATGCCAGCCCCCTTGTTCTTTGTCAGAACATAGACTTGAAGAACTCCAAATATCTTAACATCCCACAAATACCATGCCTGCCCATTATGTTGATGACATTATGCTGACAGAACCTGATAAACAGGAACTAGCAATCACCCTGCTTCTATGAAACAGACAGACAGACAGACAGACACACACACACACACACACACACACCAAATGAGCCTGCCTTGTCCCTGACTTTAATGTGAATTGATCCCATGTTTCACTGTTAGCTTCAAATATTTAACATATTTAGAAAGTTTCAATCTATTTCTATTTTTAAAAAATATTTATTTTTTTAGAAGTAGTTGGACACAATACCTTTATTTTGTTTATTTATTTTTATGTGGTGCTGAGGATTCAACCCAGGGCCTCGCACATGCTAGACAAGAGCTCTACCACTGAGCCACAATCCTAGCCCCTCTACTTTATTCTGAATGGCAGTATCTCTACCATCTTTAACATAATCACATTCTTTTTTTTTATTTGTGTGCGTGTGTGTGTGGAGGGGTGCTGGGGATTGAACCCAGGGTCTTGTGCATGTGAGGCAAGCACTCTACCATCTGAGCTATATCCCCAGCCCACATTTCTTCACTTTTGTATTGCTAAATTATATTTATATTAAGTGGTGTGCTGGCAGGTGATTAACAATCAACTTAAAGGCAAAGTGGGGAGAGGTTATTGAGGAAAGGTTTGGATTTATTATGCTCTCATGACCCAGTGCAAGAGGGCTCCAACACACCACTGTACTACATTACTAGGACAACCTCTTTCATAGGGTAGTAATCATTTAAAATGTGTTTGCATCCAATTTGCCAACATTTTATTTCGAATTTATCTATGAATAAAATTGGTTAACCCTTTTTGGAGGGGCTTTACTTCTTTGTGTTTTGGCATGAGGATTATATTAAATTTGAAAGTAAATTGGTAAGCTCCATTTTTTTTCCATGAAACTATTGCTCTAGAATAGCTTAATTGATGTAACAATTGCATTTAGTAAATTTAGAAGGTATACCTATACTTAAAGAGGATAGAGGTTCCCTTTACCCCATTATTAGAAATATTGCTTGTGAATCAATATTTTATGTGGGACAGATATAAAGATACAAAGACATTGATGATAACTAGGTGGTAGATACTTACTTTGTGCTTACTTTGGTGGTAGATACTTGACTATCTTTTCCATTCCTTCTCTGATTATTGGGTTTCTCATTTATGTTACCTGTAAGATGTGTATAATAGCCATATCTCTCTTCCCATGCCATATATCTGTATCTGTATATACACATCTATTTATTTTTTTCTCTTTTGCCCCTTGATTAGCAAGTTTTTGTCTATTTTATTGGTCTTCTAAAGAATTAATTCCTGGTTTTAAAAATGAAACCTAGTTTTGAAAGTGATGCTTTATAATTAATTAATTTCTGTTTAACACTTTAAAAACCATTTTTATGTTCTTTTGGTTTATCTTATTTATGTTTGACTCCTACAATCTGGAGTTGAATGTCTAGTCCATTTATGTTCAATCTTTATTTTACATTGAGAAGGATAGAATAATTATTATGTACTCTCATAAGAGTTATTTTTTTAAACAGTTCTTGAACAACTGCTGTGTGCTAAGTCAGTCCTTCCTTCCTTCCTTCCCTCCCTCCCAGGGGTGCTCTACCACTCATCTATACCCATAGATACAGTGTCTCTCTGTTGCCAAGGCTGGCCTCAAATTTCTAATTCTCCTGTCTCAGACTTCCAAGTTACTGGGATTATAGGCATGCACTGCCACACTTGGTTTATGTTCTAGGTTTTAATACAGGGATGGGCAAACTGTAGCGTATAGATTTGGCCTGCAGCCTAATTATGTATGCACTGTGAATTAAGAATGGCTTATAATATATTTAAAGGTTTGTAAAAAAAACAAAGAACCAGCAAAGAAACAACCACAGAGACCATTTGTGGTCAGTAAAGACTAACATATCCCTATTTGGACATTTAAAGAAAAAAGGTTTGAAGACTGCTTGTCTAGTGTAATGGTGGAAAAGATGTCTAGACAGTTAACATTAATCCTCAGGTACCAGAACCCTTCAATCACAAATTTGCCCAGTTTCAGTCTGGTTTACCTTCCTCCATCCTAGTTATCATCAATGTCTTTGTATCTTTATACCAGTCCCACATAAAATATCGATTCACAAGCAATATTTCTAATAATGGAGTAAAGGGAATCTCTATCCTCTTTAAGTATCACTGCTTCATTTTTATTGTAGTTTACAATATTTTGAATTATGATTATATACCCAATTCCTGACCCTCTGATTCTCCCTCCATGTCACCAAGGGCCTAAATAGGACTAAATACGCTTTTCTTGTGCCCCAATACAAAAACCTTCACCACTTTTGCTCCATAACCCCTAAATATTTTTGTCAGTCTCTCAGGCCCACAGCTAGGGTTGAGGGAAGCATACCAAAAAATAGCCACTTTGCAATCAGCTGGACTAAGCTTTGAGGAGTATGCACTACTCTTTCTGGCAACCAAGAGAGTAATGTTTTGACTGATTCTATCTCACATGGACCTCTCCTGTACTTCCCATTACTTTCACACATTTGCAGTAGAAATGGATGCCCAGAATACCCCAAGAATCCCACCCATTTCAAGATGGCAACCCTCTATAATTCTCCCCCAAGAAAGTACACACACACACACAAATCTACCACTAAGCTATGTCTGTAAATATTACTCCAAAAGATGAGTATTGTATATAACTTCAGTATAAGGATGCATGCTTTCAAAGTTAAATTTTAAGTTATATTTCAGAGTTTTAAAAAATTAAAAATAACTACAAACGAGATCTATTAAGCTGGTTTGTATGGAACTTTTGGATCAATAAGCCTTGGAAACTTGATGTTTACTTTTTATTAACATGCATTTTTTGTACATACTAATTTCATGTGCATAGTGGAATGTCATTATGCTTTGGGGGTAACAAGGACCTGCCTTGCATATATGATTCCACAATTAAAGAGTTGTGCTCAGAGTTCACAAACTTGAGTTAAATAAAAGTTGCAATGTTAGATTATATGTACCTGTTGGAAGTATACTAGAACCTTGACTTCCAAGGCAAGTAGGTAACATAATTATGAATGGCTTATATTTAAAGTTTTGCAAAACAAAGAATCAGCAAAGAAACAATGATGAACTGATGAGCTGTACACATTTTCGTTGCAATAATCTGAGTAACAACCATATTGTTACTGAACCCAGGTTTGGAAGTTAGTCTCACAAGAAAAAAAAAAAAACAATGTGTGAGCTGAGTGCCACAGAGAAAGAAGTTATTTTTTCAATGGTCAAAGAATGGAGGAAGTAGAGCTTGTTCATAAATAAGCTTCTCACTCCAAGGCGTTGAGGGGTTATGTATATATGATAGGAATAATGAAGAGAGGGAAAGTCTTATAAAGTACAGGAATATTCATGTCTGTTCTGGGAATAAGCTGAGATCTTCCAGGAATATTTGTTTTCATTTCTTTCATGGTCTGTTTCTGGTCGTGGCAGCTCGTGTTGTTAGCTTTAAAAGGAAATTGTAAGTCTAGGTCAAGTTAACCCTATATTACAGTTTCAGACATGTGGTGCTGAGAAGAATTTCACTCAAAAACTGATGCAATAAAGGAGACAATCACAAAGTGAAGATAGAGATGCTAAGTATGTTCATCTCATTCCAGTCATGCATGGGACATTTGCAGGCCCAAATGAAGAGTCAGTGTTTTCAGCAAAAGCAGCCTCAGGCCCTTGAAGAGTAACTTAAGTAACCGTTATCCTTATAGCACACTCAGGTGTCATCTCCAGCAAAGCCAGCTGGGGAGTAAATGTATTACCCAGTCATGTGACCTCTGAAATTAGTGATTTTAAAGTCATTAAAGAGCAAGGGAAGCTGGAAGGTTTATTTAGGTATTTTCTCAGTAATAATATGACAAATGGCCTCTGCTATAGATTGATTCATTTGTTATCCAGCATGGTCCCCACACCAGGAAAAGTATATATTTGAAATGAATGAATAAATCCTGGGACTCAAAGAATCTGGTCCTGCTTTTTGCCTCCTGACACATTGGTGAAGTAGTCTACTACAGATAAGGCAAATCTCAATCTCAAGGCAGGAGTATTCAGTTTTATCATGGATTTGGGGCTATAGCAACAAGGTTCTAAGCCATAAAATGACTCCCATGAACATGTGAGATGAAACACAGGAAAAAATTAGTGATCACCAACACACACAGAAACAGACTAAGAAATGAGCCATAAAGTCATACAGCTTATTCAGAGTTGTGTAAACCCAATGTTTCCAAGTGCTCACTAGGAAAGAAAGATGGGGGTGAAAGAGAAAGAAGATTAAAAGGATTCTCATTTTAATGTTGCAGTTTTTTGGAAGAGATAAAATGTCCTTCACTGTGATTCTATAATATTCCATTTTATTTCTTCTCCTCCATGGTAGAAAAGCACATTTGGGAGGTAACTTCAGTCAACTAAATTCCCATGATTACAATGAGTAACAGGAGATGCAGAACCTGGATCAAAGCCTTTTATTTCCCCCTAAATGCAAAGGTGGATGAATGAGGTCGACTACCAGGCAAAGGGGTCTTTGGTTAAAGTGATTATTAGACCCCCTGTCCTGAGGGGAAGATGGTTTCTTGCAGAACGAGGTGAAGGAGGTGGTTCTGCTCAGCAGTCAACAGAGGCCACATCTCCACCTGCAGTGACTTGACGGCTTCTATGTCCTTTTCGTGGGTAGCCATGACCAAGGACTGCAGCAGCAGAAAGAGCTCCTCAGGAAGCTGGCCGCTGCTCTCCTGTCCGTGGCTGTCAAAAGCTTCCCAGGAGTACTTCTCCAGAGTCTGGGCGTGCTCGGGCAGAAGCTTGGCCGGAGGTGGCTGTAGGAGCAGCAGCAGCAGCACACGGGACACCTCGCAGCGCACCAGCACCTCCGAGAAGGCGCCCAGGGCGACAGGAGAGGGCAAGGCAGAGCCAGGGTTTGCGGGGAGCGGTGCGGCGGGCACCAAGGGGGTCGCGCCAGGTCCGGGTTGGGGCCCCGGCGGCTGGGGATGAGACTGCGCCGGGGCCAGCAGGGTCTGCGGTGGTGGAGGCGGGAGCTGCTGCACGGGATGGCTGCCATGCTCCTGCGCTAGGAGCTGCATGCGCGTGAAGACCGCCAGGGCGCCATTGTAGTCGCGCGCCAGAAGCTGGCAGGAGGCGGCGTCGCCCAGCGCCTGCAGAGCGGCCAGGGGCAGAAGGGGCAGCTGCAGCTGGGCGGCGCGCTGGAAGTGGCCGGCGGCGGCGGCCGGCTGGCCCAAGTCGCGCAAGGCGGCGGCCAGCTCCAGACACAGGGCGGCGGCGGCGGCCGGCTGCCCCAGCTCCAGGTGCAGGCGCACAGCGGCGCCCAAGGCGCTGGCAGCCGCCTGCAGCGGCTCGCCATAGGCGGCGGGGCAGACCAGGCGCTGACGAGCGTCGCACTCCTGCCGCAGAAAGAGGCGTGCGGCCTCCGTGAGGGCCAGCGCCTCCCCAGGCCCGTGGAAGAGCGCCTGCTGGCACCGCGCCACTGCCAGCTGGCACCAGGCTGCGTAAGGCAAGCACTCCTGGGCGCGCAGTTCGCGGCCCAACTGACCGAACTGCTCCCCGGCTTCCGCAACGTTCGGCTTCCGCAGGAACCGCTTCTTCAGCTTGTTCGACACCAGGCGGTACCGGGCCAGGAAGTCCCCGGCTTCGGGACCAGGGACGACGCCACCGCCGAGGCCGGACGTGGAAGCCGCCATGTTGCCAGGTCCGGGAACTTCCGGACACGCCTACGTGGGCAAAGGTCCCGGCCACGCCGCCGGCGGGCCGCGACGTGCCGTGCGTCACGCTGCAGCGGCCTGGAGCGGCCTACCGCGACCGCGCGCCTCGAAGCACACGTCTAGCTGCGGCGCCCCCGCAGTCCCCCGTCGCCCTGGTGATGTGCAAAGGTGAGAGGCAGGGCCTGGCTGGGAGGCGCCGTATGCCAATCAGGGACGCGGGCGGGTCCGGGGCTGGTTTCAGTAACCGAGGCGACCGGAGAGGCGTGAAGCCAGCTGCCTTTGCGAAGCGAGGGTCAGGAGGCGGGGCTTGGCCTGGCACCGGGTTCCTACGCAAATCGAGGGTCCCGGGCAGGCGTGGCCTGGCCATCCAGGGAGCTACTCCTGCAAATCGAGGGCGAGGGGGCGGGGCCTGGCCTCCCGTAGCCCCCCCCCCCCCAAGGCAAACGCAGAGTCCCCGGCCCGGGGCATATGCAAATAGTGGCTGCGGGGCGGGGCCGGCCGGCTGCCCGCGAGGTACTTACACCAATGACGGATTACGGGGCGGTCCAGACGAGGGCCTCTGCACCGAGGCGGGGTCCTGGGCTTGCGGGGCCTCTGCAGGCGCCAGCTGTTGCTAGGTTGCAGCTAGTGGCCCTCGGTTGCTAAGGGCGCCTAGCAGCTTCTCCATCTGAACGTGACCAAAGCTCAATCCATGACCCTGCTTGACCCGAGTTCCCTGTTTGTTTTTTTTTCCTCCCTGGACCCTTCCCCCCTCACGTCTCCATCTTGCCGTCGAAGCTCCTTGCCCCGTGGGCGCCCAGCCCCGCCACTCTGGCCACCTGTCCACCCCACCGCGGCCGGTCGCCTTCAGACATGGGTCGTGTCACGACCCACGGCCCTAGTGTCGTGGCCACCCCCTTTCTGGCGACTTGGGTGGGTGGGCGGGCAGGCACGCAAGCAGGCACGCAAGCAAGCAGGCAGGCCCTGAGTCATTCAGGGCCATAGGGAGGCGTCTTCTGTACCTCGACGCCCACCCCACAATGCCCACGCTGGCCTGCCCTTGCCACCCAGGGTCACCCCCTGCGCTGCCCCTCCCACCCCCAGGAAGAAGGCCTCCTCCTCCTCCTCCTCCTCCTCCTCCTCCTCCTTCTTCTTCTTCTTCTTCTCTCTCTCTCTCTCTGTCTCTCTCTCTCTCTCTCTCCTCTTCCTCCCTTTACTCCTCCTGCCGTCCCAGGTACCTAACGCCACAGGCCTGAAGCCCACCCCGCAGCACTCCCAGCGCCTGGCCTGGCTGTCCCCCCAACTCCAGAGGCCTGGAGAGCCCCCACCCCCCCTCAACACAAAGTGACTGAGGCAGGCGGAGGGTTTCTTGAAACGCTTTAATGAAAGGGCTGGCTGAAGGCACAAGCCAGGCCGGGCGAGGCTGGCCGAGAGCGAGGGGGCCTGGGGCCTGGTGGACAGGTGGGCCGGTGCTTGGGCGAGGGCCCCCGAGCCAGCAGCAGCAGCTAGCGCCGGGGCTGGGCGACCTGGGAGATGGTGGTAGTCTCGAAGAGACCACTGAGCAGCGCATTGTTGTGGACGGCCATGTCCAGGAGCTCTGGGGTGATGCGCCTCCTGGCGCTGTGGCGGGCCTCGTTGCCCGCCAGCTCCAGCACCTTGGCTGTCAGGCACTCGAGGGTGGCGGCCAGGAACACGGACGCAGACCAACTCAGGCGCTGGGCATAGCGGCCCTCCCGCAGACGGCGCTCCACCTGGCTCACGGAGAAGGTCAGCTCAGCTCTGGCGGTGCGGGAGTGGGCCTGCCTCTGGGGACCGGACAACCCCGACGATGACCCTCCTCCTCCTCCTGTTGCTGCTGCTGCTGCTCCTCCTCCTCCTCCTCCTCTTCCTCCTCCTCTTCCTCCTCCTCTTCCTCCTCCTCTTCCTCCTCCTCCTCCTCTTCCTCCTCCTCCTCCTCCTGTTGCTGCTGCTCCTCCTCCTCCTCTTCCTCCTCCTCCTCCTCCTCCTCCTCCTCCTCCTCCTCCTCCTCGACGGCTCCTCTGCCTTGGCATGCTGGGCTCAGCTCAGGTGGACTGGGCTCCCTCTGCTTAGCTCTGCTCAGCTCTGCTCTGCTCTGCTCAGCTTGACTCGGCTGGACTGCGCTCCCTCTGCTCAGCTCGGCTGGACTGGGCTTTGCCTGGCCCGATGTGATGCCGGTTTAGACGCCAACGGTGGGTGCTCGGTGGGTGCGGCAGGTAGTCTGGGTCCAGTGCTCCAGGGCCCCGTATCCTAGCGACCCCCGGCTGCCCCCTCGTGGGTCGGCGATGACGCGCTCTGATGATGTCAGCACTCCCCGGCTGGTCCGCAGTGTGTGGGCCTGGGCCTGGGCCTGGGCCTGGGCCTGGGCCGAGACGGGGCGGCCAGTTGGCCTCCAGGCCTCCCAGCCTCCTAGCCTCCTCACTGGCCAGGGCCCTCCCATCTTGGCACAGGAGCTCTCACTTTCTGCTGGAGGGGAGCAGTCTAGGGAAGAAGAGGAGGACTGGGGGGTGCGTGTCAGAGGCGTCAAGTATGTCCCATCACAGTGCTGTACCACCGCCAGGACCATCTACTTCCAAGAAACTTACACCGCCCCCCAGAAACACCCGGTACCCCTTAAGCTGTCCGCCCCCCCCCCCTTGTGTGTGCGCATCTGCGCTCGCGCGTGCACGCACACACACACACACACACACACACACACACACATTGCTCCTGAGGGCCCCTGGCAGCCACTAACGTGCTTTCTTACCATAGAGAATTGCCTATGCTGGACGGAAACTATACGTGCAATCAGAGTTAAATGTGTGGCCTTTCGTGTCCGACTACATTCGCTTAGCATGAGGGTTCATCCACGTTGCAGCACGAATCAGCACTCCGTACCTTTTCACACCTGAATAATACGCCATTGTATGCATACACCACATTTTGTGTATCCACTCATCAGTTGGTGGATAGCTGGGTGACTTTGACTATGGAAGAGGAAAAATTTCTCCCTACCTTGTTAGGGTATCCAACCAGGACTTAATACATTCTAACAGGGCAAGGCCACACAAATTTTATTTACTAAGTTTTATATTGACATGGGAGCCCTTGCAAGAAAAAGGAACACCCAGAGAAGCAGTTACAGGCAAATTTGTGTATGCTATGTTGGACAAACTAGTAAATACTGAATACATGACAATACAGAGGGCTTGGGTCAGGATATTAAATTTTGTAAAAGTCAATAGGAAGTTAATGGTTAGTTTAGCAATGTTTGTACAGGTTTTGCTTTTCCTACACTCCCCATCTCTTGTAATACAAACATCTTCTTTCCTCTGGATGCAGAAAGGATATATGAAAATATCATCTCCTTTCAGGAAAAAACAAAAAAATAAGTCATAGTGCCCTTCTTTCATCTTCTGTTTTTCAGGTGCCTTTAACTGAAAATAATCAATATACCAGGATGGCATGTTTTAGGATTGTATATTTTGATCCCCTAGATCACCTAATGCTACAATGAGCATTCCCTTACAAGTTTCCATTTGAATACTTTTTTTAAGTTTTGGGCCCCCATACTGATGAATGCATTTATTGGTTTATTTCTTTACCCTTTATTATATTTAATGTGTTTGTCCAACTTTGTCATTCTTTTTAAGTCATCATTAATATCTTTAACAATGTCTTGGCATTTTCCGTTGATAAGTGTCACACCTCTTTAATTAAATTTATTTCTGAGTATTTTATTCTTCTTGATGCTATTTTAAGTAGAATTATTTCGTTTAATCCCAGGTTTCATTTATAATGTAGAGAAATACAACTGACTTCTGTATTTTAGTCTTGTATTTTCACTGAATTAATTTATCAACTCTAATAGTGTTTTTGTGGATTGTTTAAGATTTTCTGTACATAAGCTTATATAATATGAGAATAAGGTAGTTTTATTTCTTTTTTTCCAATGTGGATGACTTTTTCTTCTTTTTCTTGTTTACCTGCTCTTGCTAGAATTTCTAGTACAATTTTGAGTAGAAATAGTTAAGCCAGCATTGTTATCTTATTATTCATGTTAGAGGAAACTTTTCATTCTTACTCCATTGAGTATGATGTTACTTTTGCCTTTTATCACATTGACAAATTTTCCTTTTTCTAGTTTGATTAGGGTTTTTAATCATGAAACTCTGTTCAATTTTATGAAACAATTTTTCTGCCCCAACATAGATGAACTTATGGATGTTTCCACCTAGATTTTACTAATGTGTGGTTAACAGATTAATTTCTTATATTTAATCACCATGCATTCCTGGGAAAATTTCAACTTAAGCAAAGAAAAAAAATGTTAGTAATATGCTGCTGGGTTTGATTTGTTCTTATTTGGTTGAGGATTTTTAAATCTATATCCATTAGAAATATTGGTTTGTAATTTTTTTCCTTGTGATGTATTTGTTTGACTTTTATATCCAGATAATGCTGGCCTCATACTATAAGTTAGGAAGTTTTCTCTCTTTTAGAAGCGTTTGGGAAGGATTTATATTAATCTTTCTTTAAACATTTAGTATAGTTCACTAGTAAAGCCTCCTAACACAGTGCCTGGCACATAATACATGAAATCTAGGACTTGTGTAGTGATTAATTCTTTGTTGATTTAATACATTGTCTTCCCAAGCAGGTTTCTAATCCAGGCACAAAAATTGAGTAACAAATGAAGGGAAAGTCAATATATATAGTGCTTTAAGTGTTTTTTTTTTTTTTTCTGGAATAGCAAGTTATCCCTTTCTAGGTCAGACTATGTATTTGTTGTTTTAATCAGTAAGAAATAAAATTGAGGCCACCAAAAGCTTCCAGTGCTTGCTTATGTAGGAGATGGCCAGACAGAGGAAATAGGTGGTCTTCTGCAAGGGCCAAGTCTAAAGGCCATTTTAAAAAGTCAGGTTTCCCTCTAAATGTACAGGAAAACAGGGGAAAATAAGAAAATCCTTGGTGAATCTTTAGAGTCCTATAATTTATATATGTGATTCATCCTATCTTAACACAAAAATGCAGATATATTTACAACAAGGAAAG